AAGGAGAAAAGAAGTGTTGGGACCATTGCCACTTTACGGGGCAGTATAGAGGATGCGCCCACGAGGACTGCAATCTACGATTTAGTATGAGATATTATAAAATCCCTGTGTTTCTTCATAATCTTAAAAACTACGATGCCCACTTAATCATCAACAAGGCTCACGAACTGAACAAGAATTCTAAAATAGAATGTATCGCTCAGAACAGCGAAAAGTTTATAACCTTTGGTTTTAAAAATCTTTGTTTCAAGGACAGTTTCAGTTTCTTATCGTCTTCGTTGGATAAGTTGGTCAGGTTGAGTAAATACGAGGATGATAAAAAGCGTGAGAATTGGAAGAACAATTTCAGATACAGCGTTAGAAACCCGTATGTTAAAACCGATGAAGATTTGGATTTATTGACTGATAAGGGTATTTATCCCTATGACTACTTTGATGATTTTGAAAGATTTAAGGAAAGGGCTTTACCACCGAAAGAAGCGTTTTACAGTAAATTGAGTGAAGAACATGTAAGCGATAAAGATTATGAAAGGGCACTGAAAGTATGGAAGCACTTCGGGATTAGAACACTCGGGCAGTATCACGACTTGTATTTAAGAACTGATGTTTTACTACTGACCGATGTATTTGAAAACTTTAGAGACTTGTGTATGGAATACTACGGTTTAGACCCCGCTCATTATTACACATTGCCAAATTTCGCATGGGACGCGATGCTTCTAAAAACTGGCGTTGAAATAGAACAATTGCATGACCAAGAAATGTTTGAGATGGTTGAAAAGGGAATGAGAGGTGGTATGTGTCAAGTCAGTCATAAATTAGCAGTGGCAAATAATAAGTATATGGAGGAAGCATATGATGAGAACAAGCCATCAAATTATATTAGTTACTTGGATGCTAATAACTTGTATGGTTTAGCAATGTCCCAGAAGTTGCCGCTAAAAAATATCAAGTGGACAAAGAAAACTCCCATTGTTGAAAAATGGAATGAAAACGATGAGTTCGGTTATATTATGGAAGTTGATTTGGAATATCCCGAAACATTGCACGACTTCCACTCTGACTATCCACTAGCGCCTGAAATAATGAATGTAAATGTTAGTATGCTTTCCGACTATCAAAAGCAAGTCTATAAAATATATTATGACGGTAAAAGTCCCAAGGACGAGAAAACAAGTAAGTTAATATTAAATCTAAAGGATAAAGAAAAATATGTGGTTCATATTAAGACTTTACAGTATTATTTGAAAATGGGAATGAAAATGGGTAAAGTCCATAGGATAATAAAGTTTCAACAGAGGGCATGGTTGAAACCGTGGATTGATTTCAACACTGGTAAAAGGAAAGAAGCCAAAAGCGATTTTGAGAAAGATTTATTCAAATTAATGAACAATTCTGTGTATGGAAAAACTATGGAAGACAAACGAAATCATATGGACTTTGAATTAGTTGATAATGAGGTAAGATATGAAAAATGTGTTAATAATCCAACATTCAAAAATAGATTTATTATTAATGAAAACCTTGTAGGAGTTGAAAAAACTAAAGCGAAACTGAAACTGGACAAACCGATTTTCTTAGGAATGACAATCCTTGACATCAGTAAATTACATATGTATCAGTTCTACTATGATGTTCTTAAGAAGAAATACAATGAAAACATCAAACTGGTTTATACTGATACTGACAGTTATGTAATTCAAACATTCACTGAGGACATCTACAAGGACTTCAAAGAATTAAACCAATATATGGACTTTAGCGATTATCCACCTGAACACCCCTGCCATGACAAAACAAATAAGAAAAAACTCGGTTATTTCAAGGATGAGTGCAACGGTCAAACAATAACACAATTCATAGGGTTAAAGCCTAAATCGTATGCTTTTACAATACACGGTGAAGAAGAAGAACAAAAGAAATCAAAAGGTGTAGTGAAACACAAGGTGAAGAAAGAACTGACTTACCAAAACTACCACGAAGCATTATTTCAAAACAAAAAGCATGAAATAACATATAATTTTATTCGTAGTCGCAACCATCAATTATTTTCAATGTCTCAAGTCAAGCAATCACTCAGTAATTATGAAAATAAAAGGTTTTACATTGATGCTTTCAATTCACTGCCTTATGGACATTATAAACTGCGTTAAAGAAAAGATACATTAGGTTATTAATGGATAGCAGTAAATATAGAAATGCAAAGATTTACAAAATAACTGATATAGGTTATAATAAGTGCTACATCGGAAGCACCTGTGAAAGCTTGAGCCGAAGAATGGCAAGACATAGACAAAATTATAACAAGGCAGAACAATGGAATAATAAAACAAACTGTCGTTTGTTGTTTGATGAATATGGAATGGACAACTGTAAGATTGAATTATTAGAAGACTACCCATGTGAAAACAGAGAACAGTTATTGAAAAGAGAAGGTTATTACATTCAAAATAATGATTGTGTGAATAGATGTTTGGCAGGTAGAACAATTAATGAGTGGAAGGAAGACAATAAGGAACACTATCAAAATATGAGGAAGGAATACTCGGAAAAGAACAAGGAACATATATGTGATAAAAGTAGGGAACATTACCATCAAAACAAAGAAACAATCCTTGAAAAAAGAAAAGAAACTATTGAATGTGAATGTGGTGGTGTTTTTAGGAAATGTGATATAAGAAGGCACGAGCGAAGCGACAAACATCAACGATATGTATGTGAAAATATTAATATCTAAATATCTCTAATAAGAATGAAATTATTAGAGATGTTTAGCGGGACAGGCTCGGTTGGTCCAGTTGCTCGGGATTTGGGTTTTAGTGTTATTTCCCTTGATTTGAAAAATGCAAATATCAATACTGATATTTTGAGTTGGGATTATCGTGAGTTTGATGTGGGCGAGTTTGATGTTGTGTGGGCATCTCCTCCATGCACTGAATACAGTCGTGCTAAAACTACTGGTGTCCGTAAGATTGATTATGCAAATAGTATCGTTTTAAAAACCCTTGAAATTATAGATTATTTTAAGCCTAAATGCTGGATAATAGAAAATCCCCAAACAGGACTATTAAAGGAACAACCGTTTATGAGTGGGTTGAAATACTATGATGTGGATTAATGTAAATATGGCATGAACTACAGGAAGCGAACGAGGTTGTGGTCAAACATTGAAACATGGAAACCCAGACCATTATGCAAAAGGGATTGTGGGAAAATTAGGAATGGGAAACATTTTGAAACTGCCATCGGGTAAAAAATCAGATTGGGGTGAGGGATACATCAAACATAAACAAGATGAGTTGTATAAAATTCCTACTGATTTGATTAGTGATATACTTGTTAAAACCTATCCGCCCGATACCTTGTAGTCGTCGAGGGAGGTGCCTTCTGACAAACAGGACTCACACGTTGGGTTGGGGTTGTTGTTGTGGTGGGAAACAGTGTCAATTGCTGAACACCGCAATTGGAATTGCATAACACCGCAATTGGAATTGCATAACATCGCAATTAGAACCCCGAAATGGTCAATTTAGGTGGGGTTTCCAAATTGCGCAATTAACACAATAGGCTCTGACAATTAGAGTGTTGCAATTGGAGGAATGAGATGAAGCAATTTACACCCCGAGACCTGTGTAATTCAAAACTAAACCATAATTATAACCTTTATATTCTTATATGTTATAATTATAGCGAACTTTTAACCTATAAAACATAGCTAGACAATCACATAAAAATCACACAACAAGAAGTTGTTAAGATATATTAAGAATGGTTGTGAAGCAAACTATAATGAATAATTATAGAATGATAGAAAAAGCAAAAGAAGACTATGGTATTTGGAAATGTAAAAAGTGGAAGAAGATATAAATATTGTCAAGAGTGTAGAACGAAAATAAATAATTGTAGAGATAAACGTCAAAGAAAACAAACGACCCAGCAACACCCCAGAACTTGATAACTACTAAAAGGGCTAACTCTTTCAAATGAAAAAAATGTTTGCCCCCAGCCCAACAATGAACAAGGCGACAATTTACCCAAATGATTACCTTAACGAAAACGATAAATAAGCTCCCTAAAAACCCTCTTTTAAAAACGAATAAGGGGGAACATAGATTTGAGATGAACATAAAAACCATAACAGGCAACCATCAACAGACCACCCCCCAGGCCCCCTACTTTCTCCATTTTTTCCCCCCCCATATAGTCCATATGTCCCCCATAGTTCTCAAAACTGTTCCCAATGGTTGCTGTTGACCCCCCTGCAAAAAGTATAACTTTTTTGGTGGTTTTGTGGAAACCACCTTTATTCCAACCAAAAAGTTAAAGATCCCCATAGCTCCAAACCACCAACCTGACCGGTTGCCTGAGAAAACGCCTACCCTACATGAACAAAACATACCCCCCCCATATAGTCATTATATGCCCCCCATAGTTCTCAAAACTGTTCCCAATGGTTGCTGTTGACCCCCCTGCAAAAGTTTAACTTTTTGGTGGTTTTGTGGAAACTACCTTTATTCCAACCAAAAAGTTAAAGTCTAAAGATCCCCATTTATCCTCAGGGACCCGGTTACCTGAGCAAATCCCCTACCCTACCTCGACAAAAAATACCCCCCCCCCCATATAGTCCATAGTCAAACTTTTACCAATGGGACACCAAAAGGGGGACCTTTGTTTCTACCTGGAGTCTCCTTCGACTCTGAGAAGGAGACTCCAGGTACCGAAAACCCCTACCCCCCTACCCCCCCCCTTATAGTCCATATAGTTCTCAACTTGTGTTCCAATGCAAAAGGAAGAACCTTTGCTTTCACCCAAAACCCCCCCTCAGTTGCCCAAAGGACCCAGACACAAAAGGTTAACCTTTTGGGACCTTTACTAAAAATGGGATCCCAAACATGGGAAACCAAGAGGTCAAAAGGTCGATTCGCTTTGGGCAAGTGAGCACCCCCTCCGCTTTGGAGCTGGGCCCCGAGGGACCGCACTGCCCCAATGCCCCACGTCTCCTCCCCGAAGGCCGCGTCCATGGACCACACCGCGAGAGGTGAAGACCCTGCCACCAGGAAGAGGCAGACCTCGCGTGCCGAGTGCGGCCGGATGCGAACGAGCGCGGGGTGTGTTTGTTTCTCCCTCCGATGGGGTGTTTCCGCGCGCTTTTCGCGTTTCGTTTCCCACTGTAAACAAGGGTTTCAGGGCCATTTTTGACGACCTGCGCGCGGGTTTGGAGCAGTGGGCGTATGTTGCGTTCACGGGCACACTTTCATGACTGAGCGCACGCCTGCCACATGATAAGCACCCACATTGACGCACGCATTATCATCATTGCGTGCATGCACACATTATCATCATTGCACACATTATCATCATTGCGTGCGTGCCTGCCACATGATCAGCATCCACGTTCACGCACACATTATCATCATTGCACACATTATCATCGTTGCGTGCATGCGCGCATTATCATCATTGCACACATTATCATCATTGCGTACATGCCTGCCACATGATCAGCATCCACGTTCACGCGCACATTATCATCGTTGCGTGCATGCCTGCCACATGATCAGCATCCACGTTCACGCACACATTATCATCGTTGCGTGCATGTCTGCCACATGATCAGCATCCACGTTCACGCACGCATTATCATCATTGCGTGCATGCCTGCCACATGATCAGCGCCCACGTTCACGCACACATTATCATCGTTGCGTGCATGCCTGCCACATGCTCAGCATCCGCGTTCACGCACACATTATCATCATTGCGTGCATGCCTGCCACTTGATCAGCATCCACGTTCACGCACACATTATCATCATTGCCCCAAGGGCATATTTGAACATCGATGAAAACAAGCAGCGTCTGTGGGCGTAAAAACCCCAAGACGCATTGAACAGACAGAAAACTCTGGACCGAAAAACCGCGCGGTGAGAGCCCATCGAAGCGTTGTTTCTTTTACTTGGGCTCAGTCCAGTGACCCTGGAGAAAAAAAGGGAACCCAAAACAGTCAAAGCCTAAAGATCCAATGCCAATAGCAGTGGAGCTTACGGAAGCCCCTCGAAAATGGATGTTGCTCTTCAGGGGTCACTGGAGATTTGTTTCGGTTTTCTTCCTGGTTGACTGTGCTGCAAGAAAGACACGGTACTAAAACGACCATGTTGCTTTCCTTTTGGCTTTCCAAAGGTGATAACACCTCAAAAAGACTGACCAATTTGCTTTTCTTGTGATGGCTTCCTTCAACATCACGGGTATGCTCTCAAAACAAGATAGACCCTTGTGGTTCAAAATGAAGGATCATATAAACCAGCGAAAAGGGAAACTCTGCAAGAGTTAGCCAAATACCCACCAAAACCAAAAGCTTCCCGCAGGATTTCCTGCGGGTTTCTTCGAAACGAAAAGCGGAAGCCAAGAGAGAGAGAATGCTTCAAATATGGCAAGTAAACCAAGCACGCTTAATTAACCCCCAAACCGGTGATGAATTACTGCAATTTCAAGGATTGTCTAGATCTTCTGACTACTTGCAATTTGTCTAAAGCATCCACTGCAAAGTCAGGACATCTGGCCAAAAACTGCCGGGTTTCGGTGCAACATCCTCAACATCCATTTTCAAAAGCCAGCTGTTTCCCCTTGGATCTTGCTGGTTTTCTGAAACGAAGGATTTCTGGGGAAGCGTCCCCTAGAATATCCTGTTTTTCCAGACGCTGGGATTTTCGGACTTTGCTGGCCTTTCGAAAGGAGACACCTGAAAAAAGGACGCATGCTACTCTTCTAGGGGTTGATTCCCCTCTTTTTTTAACCATCGTTCTTTCCAAAAACCTGCCGTTTTCCCTCGGTTTCCGGAGGTGTTCTTGAAAGATTCGGATCCCTGGAAAGAATGGAAATGGAAGGTACCTCTAGAACTCTGACATTCCCTCAAACACAATGCAAGCCCCTCCCAACCTTGAACAAAAGAAGAAACAAAAAGGCGCGCTTGCTTCGGAATTGCCCAGTAGGCGTACTTATCAAAGTAGGATCCCTCACATGGGAGCCACAAGAACCATCGCTGGCTGGTGGACATTACCCCGGTAAAAGTGCAGGAGGGGGCTCCATGCATGCACGCTCCCCTATCCTAAGAACTGTGGAATCACTGCCGTGCCGTGGCTATCAAATGCTGTTTGCCAAAGGACCTTTGGGCTATGTTGGGTCCAAATTCAGGGCCATTAGGGGGTTGGTATATGTTACGTATGTCCATTTTAGGGTTCCAACTCTTGACATTCACAATAAGGAACCCTTTGGTGGAGATCCCTTGGGCATTTACGTCCACGAACCACTCGTGAGGTGGCTCTAAATATTGAAGTTCATCGCCATTTCTCCCACCAACACTTTCAGAGCCACTCTTGAAACTTCTTATCTCCACCAACCACTGAATTTTTAGGTGGCTAAACCAAAAAAAAGTTTATCTCGAGCCACGCCGCGGTTTTCTCCAAAAAAGCCGTTTTGTTTTTGGTTTGTTTGTTTTTTAAAAGGGCAGCAAACCCCATGTCTGACTTTGATCACCCCTACAAACCCTCAAAATCATGCCCCCCTGCGGTTCTCAAATCGTGCTTTGTTGGGTCGAGGCGCCAGGTTCGCGAGGTCCCAGAAGCAGTAGACCGCGTCGTCGGAGCCGCTGGCCGCACGCTGGGCCTCGAAGTCCGCGGCCACCACCTGGACGAGGCCCTGGTGGTGCTGCCCCCCGAGCACGTGGCTGGTCTCCTCTGCCACCCCCGCCCCAGGGAGGGTTCACCCCCAGAAATGGCTACCTGGAGTCTCCATGACCCTTAAAAAAGGGGGTCATTACCCAAAATAATGGGGTCATTGACCCATTTTTAAAAGGGTCATGGAGACTCCAGGTAAAAGGAAATGTATCTGTTAAGGAGCCCTGGAGATACAGCCACATGGCCACTCTAAAGGTAGATCATTGTGGGGGAAGAAAAGTTTGGGGGCTATGTGGGGGAGGGAGGGGAGGGGGAAGCCCAAAAAGGTCTTAAGCGCTTATTATAGAGGCTTTGCCTGGGGCTTATTTGGGCTCCCTCACCCTTCCGATTCCCGGAAAAATAACACATCCAAAACAAGTACTGTCTATGAGTCTGTGTCTATGTGTCTGTCTGTGTCCGTGCGTCTCTGTGTCGCTGTGTTTTTGTGTCTGTGCCTGTGTTTCAAACGATTGGTGCACCGGTTCCGGAACGCCACGTGGTTTGGGGTCCTGCTTCGACGGACCATGCGAAGGATCCTCGATCGGAAAACACATCACTCCAAACAAAAGAACTGTAAAAAAAACAAACAAAAAAACGGGGCGTCCTCCAATCAGGTTGCCCGAAAAATATGATCAATCCAAATATATGACACTGGGACGAAGAAGTCCAACAGGTGTCCTTGTGGAGAGCAAAAACCATGGATTCTACTGGACATGTTGCAAAATCACTAGTTCCGTTGCCCAAGCTGAAAGATACAAAACGTCAGAAACAAGTGTTTGTCTCCACAGACTTAGGCGTCATGTGAACAATAACATGGATTTCATCGACTGGTTTATGCTTGCTTGCCTGAACTGAAACTACCGCAATCCGGCTGTCATTCCCAAACTGACCTAAAAACCACCTATGGTTTGGCGAAGGCAGTTTCATGTTGCCACATCCGTTTGCCCATGTTGAAGCCTCACCTCTTGCGGCTTCAAGATAGATTGTCCAACAAGGACATGCAAAATGGTCTCTAATGCTAGAGTGTGTGGAACCCTTCATGAGTCAATGTGCGTGGCCCAATGGCAAGACAGTAACTGGCTTTCCAAGTCGCAACCATTTTGGCTGAGTTTGGCTCAGGATGGCACCTTCCGACCTGCCTTGCATCTGGCAGGGCTTCGGGCTTCACGAGCGATTTCTGTTGAACTTCCGACGCCTACCGCCTGCCGTGCCAAGGGGCCTGGAATAAAAGCAATCTTCCATCCTCCCTGCCTGGACCTTCCAACGTACCTGATACTTCTGCCTCCCCTGTCAATCGGCGAAAAACAAAACGGTATCAATGGAAGGTCCAGGTTTTGTTTTGCGCCAAGGGGTTGCTGACAAGCGCTTTAGGATTTTGGGGCCTGGCGCCGGAAAGCCCTGAAGCGATGAAAAGCTCACAAACGCCCAAACAACCTGCAGAAGGTGATCACCTTTTGGAACCCTTACTAGAAATGGACCAACGAAAGAAAACGGACAAATGAAACACAAATCTGGACCAAGAAAACGGAAACAACAAAATCTGGACCAACAAAAGAAAACGGGGGAAACAAAGGGTCGGTTTTGAACAACTGAGAAAGGGGGAGAACCCCTGCAAACTTCAAACAAACAATTCGCGGATCGCGAATCTGAGAAGGCCAGTCGAATCGTGCGCCCGGTGGCCTCCAAAAAATCCCAGAGCTGCACAGATCCGCCCTCGTGGCCTGTAACCTCAGAGCCAGGGTCTGCGGAACACGGGATCCTACCTGGAGTCTCCTTCTGACCCTTAAAAAATTGGTCAATGACCCCATTTTGGGGAATGAGCCCATGTTTTTAAGGGTCAGAAGGAGACTGCAGGTAGTGATTTTCAGAGGGGTTCCCCCGAAATTAGTTGGCCACCGGATGGGGAGGGACCCCAGGTGTGGCCGGACCTAATTTCCATTCGCCCATGTCGAAGCCTCACTGCTGGGGACTTTAAAGGAACCAACTCCTTCGCAAAGCAGCCCTGTCTCCGCCAGGAAACCCGTGCCAAAAAAATAGGGAACAAACATCCCCCGTTGGTTTCTGGCTGGGGATTGGTTTACGACACATTCAGCACCCGAGATGCTTCGCTGGTCCAGGAAACCGAACCGTCTGCAGTAGTTTTAGAAGGGATGAGCTACCTCCGCATCGGTGAGCTCGCCACAAAATACTCCGCCAGTCCCTTGGCCTGTGAAGGACATTTCGAGCCTGCCCACTCAAATGGCCAGGAGAACAAATCCGGACATGCTTAATTAATCCGCTGCGAACCTACTTGTTGGGCTGGTGCTTGAATCGAAGCTACTTTGCTCAGCTTGTGTTGCGGTAAACAATGCTGCTCATCCCTGCTCATTTGGATCTTGTTTGCGAGGGTTCCCTTTTGCGGGTGGTTGGTTGCAAAGGGACACCAAAACCAAGCTGTCCTCACATTCCCTGCTAAACGTTCCACTTTTGGTGGGTTAAATACGGAACCCCAACCACTACCTGGAGTCTCCATGACCCTTAAAAAATGGGGTCATTACCCCAAATAATTGGATCATTGACCCATGTTTCAAGGGTCATGGAGACTCCAGGTAAACCTTAAAATATCTAATTAGAAGCCAAGGGAACGGCTCGGAACTGCCGAGGAAAAAACGGGGAAAGGCACTTTCGAAGGTCCAAGGTTCCCTTTCGCCCCTCAGATGCCCAGCGGCCACGGGAAAAAAAGGGACACCCTGTTTGTGTTGGTTGCGTTTCAAGGGGAAGGAACCCTTACCCCAGAACAAGTTGAAAAGTTGGAAAAAAAAGAAAAAAACAAAGGGCACCTTTGTTTGTTGGCACCTTTGTTTGTTGCTTGCCCCAAAAAAAGGTTGAAGAATGGAAGCACCCCCCCTGGGCGTACCAGAGCCGAAACCCGTGTCCCCAAATTGGAGCCGAGCAGCCGCCTGCTGGCGCTCGCAGCTGGCGGCCACCGCCCAGGCGGTGCCGTGGCAGCGCAAGGTCTGCGTGCAGCTGCGCTGCCCGAAGGACCTGACCGGGCGGCGGGACCGACCCGGCTCGCTCCCTGGCGGGTGGTTTTGGGGTCGCGTGGCCTCCGCGTGGCCTCCGCGTGGGGTGATGTAGGTGGCCTTTCCGCCAGAACTCGCACCACGAAATGAGTTGCATCATGGTGGAAAGAAAGCGGTTGAAGTTTGGGTGTTTACAGGAGAATCCAATCAGTCCAGGGTTTCTGAGGTGGTGCGAAATGGATTCCGTCCATCCACGCACAGCACGTCCTGGGAGCAATAACATGGATATCATGAAAGCACGGCTTTCCTAAGCAGGCTTCGGTGAACACATGCCACCGATCAGATTGAAACCAAGGGGGAAAATACTCCTCTCATTGCTCATCCCGAAAAAGGGAAAGCAGGTGTCAAATATGGCAGAGAGCCACCCTGGTTGGACAAGAAGCCCAGCCCAACCCGTGAGTCTCCTTTTCGGAGTTGCTTGGGGGGCCAGCCATCTTGACACAGACCGAATTTGTTCACGGAGTAGGGGGCTGCTGCTGTGGATGGAGAAAATTCAATCGGCACCATGGAATGAAACCAAGGTTGCAACCATGGCTTCTTGGTCTTTACGTTGGGGAATCATTCCAAGTTGGGATTCTGAACAGTGGTGCGAAATGGATTCCTTCCATTTCGGAAGATAATATGTTGGGGTAAACTTCTCACTTCCTGAGTGGATGGACCAAGAAAAAAGCAACCAACCATTCAAGCCAAAACGTGACTAAAGTCCGAAAAAACGGAACCCTGGAAGTGAGCTGTTGATCCCCCCCAATCTCCCATGTTTGTTGAGGGGGTGCCAATTGAACTTGCTATTTATAATTTTACCATGATCAAAGCCACCCCGTAAGTGGTGGGGTAAAGGGAATCAGCCACATTGACTGGTGCTATGTTTGTTGGAGGGAGGGTACTATTTACTCCTCAGACTTTGAACAAAAACGATGGGTCAAAAGCCAAACCGTACCGCCAGTGAAGATCCGATTCAATCCCCACTAAAATAAACTAAAATGAGTGGTGAATTCACCTACCTGACCCAAAATGGGATCCCAAAACGGTTTTGAGAGCCACAGCCATTTACTCCTCAGCATAGGTGGCCTTTTGGAAAAATCGATGGGTTTCCAACTGGTAAATGGATGGCACAGAACCCATCTAAACCAGTGGGACCCATCCTAAAAAGGACCTCATGATCCTCATCTTCCGTGTGGAAAAGGAAAAGGGTGCCACACAGCAAAAATGGTTGGTCATTACCCCCAAAAAAGGACCCATTTTTGAAGGGACCAAAAGGAGACCTTGGACGAAAACGACCACATCTTCGGGTCCAAGGCGCCAGACCCGCAGGGTGCCGTCGTCCGAGCCGCTCACCGCCCAGCGCCGGGAGAAGTTCGCGGACACCGAGCACACGGCGCCGCTGTGGCCTGGCGAAGAAAAAGGCCGCGAAACCGGATCCGCCCGCAGGCAAACCTTCCATTTGCGTCTTCGCGCCTGTGGAAAAAATGAGACAATGGTCCAGTAGAACCTATGCGGAAAGGGACAAATCTATGTCAATGTGGAAAAATGAGAAGATCTATGTCCAGTGGTGCTAGATGCCCTTTATAAACCAAGAAGGGGCCATGAAACAAAACAAACAAAGGTACTCTTAAGCAAATGGAAGTGACCCAACTCTTGGTGGCTGCTGTTTACCCCTCTGCGACAAGCTGAACTCTTCCTGTGTGTCTTCGGAAAAACCACAAAGCTTCAAGAAACAAGTTAAAGTCCACAGATCCAAGCAAATAAAGCCACAAAGATCTACAGACTTGCGATCCAGTGGATTCGTGCATTGGCCAAACATGAGATGACCGAACTCCTGATTTGTAGCACTAACACGAAAATTCCCAAAAGGTGACTGAAAATACAGGCACCCAGGGAGTGCGTCAACATGGAGCCTGCCTGGGGGTTCTGGAAGAAAACTTTCCGCTAAGCAAATGCCTTGATGCTGTGACCTTTGTACATGATTCTTCCAGGCGTGGACGCTTCCCTTCCGCGTGAGCGATCGCAAGCCCCGTCAAAATTGAATTACAGGGTTTCCTTGTTCTCTTACCCTTCCGTTCAGTAACATGGAAACAACTAGAAGGCACTTTTTGACAGAATTTTGGTGCCTTTGTGACCTCGCCCAGCTCCATTGATCTAGCCCAGCCACAACACGAACATGGGTTGACACAAATGTTTTCTGGAGTTCCATTCGTCAACTCCACTCCGCACAATTCTATCCTGCATCATGGGGTCTGGGGGGGAGGGGAGGGGGAGGGAGCCCACATAAGCCCAGGCCCTAAGGCCATATTTGGGGCTTCTTGGGGCTTCCCCCCCTCCCTCCCCCCCAGCCCCGGGTGGTTGGCGTGGCTCTTTGCTTCCAGATCTTCCAAACCAGCCCTCGACTGAGCGTGTCACCGAGGCTGTCTCCCAAGCCCTAAGGCTCAATGCCCATCTTGCCATTTGAGTTACCGAGCGCAACATGAGCTGAAATGGCTGTGGCTCAAAAAAGTGGAATCCCAAAATAGCACCTTGGTAAATGAACCAAAGCCTCAAGCCTGCGTAACCCTAGCGTTTTAATTTTATCCATACCCAAATGAAGCACGGGCTGGTAGAAAGCGCCATGGTACAAGAACATGTCACAAGCACGCATCCAGATTCCCAGAAGCGCTCCTGTTTGTGCATTTGGAAGATGCTTGCTGCAATGCAGCCTACAAGCATGTTTGGTTGCGGGCTTGCAAAGCTCAAGCAATCATTTGACAGTTCCTTGACCCCAAGCAGCAACATCAAGCAGCCGCTCAGCTGTCAACATGTTTGCCCCCTTGGAACAGATTCTCTCAGCATGAGGGCGATAAGCGCGCATGGCTTGCTCATCGACATGGGATTCTCGCCGGCTTGCAAAAGAGCGAGTTGGGATTTCTTTTGGGCCGATTGTGGACCCCAAAGTTGCCTCAGCAAACCGCGGAAATCGGGGGGAATGCAACCACCCCCAAACCGTGCCAGTTGCTGTCCATTCCGAAGGGGCTCCCCTATCTTGGAGCCGCAACTGGTCTCTTTGGCTTTCGGCAGCTTCGGGCTGCGCGTAAGAGCGGCGCCTCTGCGAATGAAAGCTCACGGGGGAAACATCCAAAGACGCCACCAGAGAGATAGCACGTTCGCGCAACGAAAGGCCCATGAAGAGCTGCTGCAACACCAAGACTCAACGGCCTCGACCGACCTTGGCCACCAAAAAATCCTACGAGAAAAATTTTGTGGATGGCTTGGCAACCAAAACCCCTACGAGAAAAGAATCTTGTGGAATGGCTGAGGTCGCAACTCTTTGTGACGCCTCCTATTTGGTGCAGTCGCCTCTGCTTTCCGGCGGCCGCACTCCATTTCTTTGGCCCCTGGGGCACCCCCGTATTTCTCGACCCGCTACCCCCGGACCAGCCATCTCCCCAAAAAAACGGATGCATGAGAAACACCGATGGAGCGTTGCAACTTGTTTTTCTGGTGGTGTCCAACTTGATTCTGGTGTTGAAAAAGCAACATGGTTCAAATGGGCAGGCACAATGAATCTCCTTTAAGGAGCCCTGCCCGAGTACAGGAACTGGTCATGGCTCATATGCCCGTGGCTCAAATAAATGTGAATGGCACCTTGGTAAATGGAACCAAAGACTAATACCCACGTAACCTTGGCTCCTTAAGTTTGAGCCATACCCATATGAAAGTATCAGCTTGAATCTTGAGAAGCTTATGCCTTGCCATCTGTTGGCACACCGGCTGAGCTTGCGATGGCTCAAACCACCATAGAGGCAACCTGAAGGCCAGGTGTTTCTAAATTTCAGACATGGGGGTATTTCATTCCTGGCTCTCAAATAGTCACCCTGGCGTCCCTTGAAACAAACCAAGAATCATGATAAGTACCGCCCAACTCATAAAACATGAGCAAATGATGTCTTCGTTTTAGTGGAACCCAAATAAAATGTACCTGGAGTCTCCATGACCTTAAAAAATGGGGGCATGACCCACAATAATGGTTGGTCGTTGACCCATTTTTAAGGATCAGAAGGACACTCCAGGCAGTTTCGTCTGTAGGGCCCAATTCCTTTCTGATTTTCCCAGCCCGCTTTTAGCGCCGAGGTATATCTTGCCGTCCGAGCCTTCAAAGTCCCGCAGGCACTCCTCCGGGGGAATGCGTGACTTGCGACTGGTTGAACTCCGCGTGGCAAGGAAAACACAATTGGAAACCAACCCGTTGCGCCTCAAACATGCCCGCTTTGCTGAGAAAAGAGAGAAACAAACACGACCTTGAGGATAAACATATTCCACCCCCTTGAAATCCTCGCTTTAACTTGGCCCATAAGCAAGGGGCGCATTCAAAAAAAAAGGACATGGAACTCTCGTTTCCCTTTAAAGCCATCCTACCTTTTGGGGTCGGGGGGGGGGTCCTCTATTCCCCACAAGACTGGAACATGGGTTGCCAGAGCCCGCCCCTGCCCCAATTCCGTTCTCCTCCATTTAAGCTTCCGCCCCTCGAAAAGAACAAACAAAACAAAATAGTGATCGACCCCCTTTCACACCTTAACAGCTGAAAAAGCAACACAAAACACCGAAAAAACAGGTACTCTTCCGTGTTTAAACGGGGCACGGGCCCCACTCCACCGACCGCCGACTCCGACCCGGGTGCGAAATGCGTGCGAAAGCATGTAGAAACCATTGAGCCCCAGCCGGCCAAGGTTCAACCAAGTTGGCCAAGGTGGTTGGCGTCTTTTTTGGAGGCTGCCTCAACCAAAACGCGCGGGGGAGGGGGCGGGGCGTGCGAAGGCGTCGGTCCAGGTGCTCGAGGTCCCACAGCATCAGCGAGGTGTCCGCGGAGCCGCTGAGCGCCAAGCGGCTGGGCACGTCCGCGTCCAGCGCCCAGACCTCAGGACTTAAGCGCTGCCGTCGGCCGTTGGCCGTCTCTTCTGCTCGGGATGTTTCGGGGTTTGCTTGGAGTCTCCATGAGTTGTTCAGTGACCCTGGAAAAAAAGGGAACCTTTTTTGAGAAACCAAGTCTCCCCTCGGTGGTGCTTTGTTTTATCTGTTTGTTGGATTTTGCTCTTTGGGAGGGTTATGGAGGGTTCCCTTCATCCGACAAAAGCGGGGAATGGATACTGAAACAGCGCCATGATTACTTGGTGGACGGTTGACGTTGGAAGGGGAGCAAACAAAAAAAAGTAGCAGTTAAGTGGGGATTTCCCACTAAACCACAATCAGCAAAAATGCAAAAAATGTTTCCCAACGACCACCATGATATTAAGTCCAGTCAACTTCTTGGGGGTTCTCTCTCTCTACTCTCCCAGTCCCAAGTTAGGAGCGCTCGGGGCCCGGGGTTCTCTGACAAAAGTGGCACGAAGGGGCCCGGGGGCCCAGATTATTTTTTTTAGATTGGCCGCATCAGGGCTTTTGGGGGGGTCGCGAGGAGAAAGCTCTCAACTGAAGGGAGTGATTTGTATCATGCACCCTGAAAATGGGGGGAAGGGGGGAGGGAGGAAGCCTTGAAGCCTGAGTTGGGCTGCCCATTCAGGTGTACCTTTCAACGCCCATACGCAAATTGCTGTGTAATAAAGGCAGGACGCAGATTCTCCACTGTTTCTCAGGGGGTTCAAAACAGAAGCCAGGGCGGGCTTCCCGGTTTTCTTAAAGCTCATTTACACCCACGTCAAGAACACCGCGCCCAAAAAAACCGCCCCGCACGAGAAAAACAAAAAAAACTCAGACTCGCTCGCTCCACTTCTCCTTGGTCCATGCGAGGCACGGCCCCCCGGTGGCCCAGCAATGTGCCGAGGCAGCAAAGGCCGCTGAGGTCCCAGAACTTCACAGTGCCATCCTCGCAGCCTGGGACCAGCTCAGAGTGGGCTGCGAGGGCTGGGGGATGCTGGGGGGATGTTAGTGTGGGAGTTAGTGGGGGGAGGGGGTGGGGGTGGGGGGGGGAAAACTTGTAGTGTGGTGGGGTGGGGTGGGGTGGGGTGGGGGCCGGGGGGGGGGGGGCGGGGAATTTGTTGAATCACCTGGGACAACTTTGCGTTTTGCAGCCGCACCAAACAACTAAAAACACAACGAAGAGGACTGCCCAAGAACGGCAAAACAAGCCAACAACAGGTATGGCGACGGGCAACCATGGGTCCAGGAGCTTGCCCCAAAACTGCGAGCCGGCACAGGGGGTTCATCGAAGCACATCAAACAATTAAGTGTTACTCTCTGCGGCGACTGTGGTACAAGACTTGGATCCCCTTTGGGCTTGTTTTTGGGGAGGGGGGTCAGCTGAACCCACCAAACAAGGACACAGAAATCGTTCTAATCCTGCTCATTTAGCCCCTAAAATGCCTTCCTGCCAGTTCGGGAGCCAATTGGGCTGCCATGGCTAGACCAAAAGGTCCATTGGGGCCGGTTTAACTCCAAACTGGATTTGCAGCACACCGCAGATTTGGACACACTGAAGACTAAACTTGAATCAACAGGTTCTCAGTTGCCCCTTAAAAAACCAGAAAGAACAAGTAACAAATGAAAGGGGTTAACCTTTCGGGACCTTGACTAAAAATTGCCAAACATGGACAACCTGGTCAGATCCGGTCGATTCGCATCAGGCCTGTGGGAAATGGAATCCACTTCTGTGCAACAAAGGGCCTCCTGCAGACTAACCCCCCTTAAACCCCTTAAAACGAGGGGGTTCAAGGGCCTCCTACAGACTAACCCGTCACACAAAGAGGGGGTTCCCTCGTATCACTGCTTGGATAAACCCCCCCGAAACGAACCCGCCGCTGCGGCTCTCCCGTCCCCCGACGTCCGATTTCGGATTTCGCCTGTGACGGCGCGCAAAGAAGGTGGCAGCACAACCACGTCTACCTCATGACCGGCCAGGTCTGCAGCGGCAGTATCCGGGTTCCTGGGGTCAAAGGCAGTTGGGGGGCGTCCTTTTTTTGAGGGTCTCCTTTTTTGGGTGGCTTTAAAGGGAACCAAGAGGAGCACCATCTTCTGTTTTTGCTCTTATTTTCTTTGGGGGGAGGGGGGGTGCACTAAAAGAAGACATATCCATTTACACACACACACACATGCCATGTTAGTGGAGGAAGGGTACGCATCTCCTTTTCGTTTACCTTGAATCAACCTAGGGATCCCGTCAAAAGTAAAGATGCATGCTAAAATGTTGATCTATGAAGCTGGAAAAGCCTTTTGGCATAAGCAAGCCAGTTGGTGTCTCTTTTTGGTGAGGATCCTTCACTTTGGGGCAATCACCCCTCACAACCCATCCCGTCAGGTTTGTAAATCCGGGTCGACATGATCCGCTTTGCCGGGAGTTTGACCTTGGAGTTTCCAAGTCAAGTTTGCACCTGGGACCTCCACCCAGCCACTAGAAAAACACACATCGTATGGGGCTCGGAGCTTTCAAACCACAAGGCTCCGAGGACACGTGAGTGTCGCCCAAACATGCGGCTGCTCCAACGACCATAGTTGAACCCCCACAAAAGCATCAGTTTAGGTGCAAGCAACCAAAGGCCTGGATGGCCAAACCCAACCGACCCGGGCGGTGAACCGAAGCGGTCCCAACCCAGCCGAGCCGCAGCACCCTGCCGTCGCGGATCAGGGACACGCGGGCGCTAGGCACCTGACCCGAACCAGGGGACCATGCCCCGTGCTTATCGGGGGGAAAACCAAAAAAAAAGGGGTTTGCAAGCAAAGAGATGGAGAAGTGAGAGAAGAAACGGTTGGCCCTGGCCGCCAGGGGTTTGCAAGCAAAGAAAAAGCAACTCTATGATCCGGGGGTAGTTGAAAAAAAAAAAACAAAAAAAAACCCAAAAAAAAGCCCATGGAACCTGAAGTCTTTGGACATGGGTTCGGCACCCGATGCCTTCCAAGCTGACCTTTGAAAAAGACGTTGCTCTCCGTCCTTTTGGTTGCCACGTCGCGACAAAACAACGCGGGGGTGTTCGCCTGGCGTCGCAGGAGCCTGAAACGCTCCAGCAAAAAAATGGAAAGTCATACAAAGCCCTGAGCTACGAACAAATCAAATATTTGACAACTATTGCAGTAGTTTGGAGTTTTCTCTCATCATGCATTTGATCAGATACTTGAAGAAGGGACGCCAACAAACAGCAAACAACAACTCACTTGCCCAAAGGGCTTCGAAAGAAAAGGTTAACCTTTTGGAACTTTGACAAACATGGTTGCCAAAATGAACCACCAACAGGTCAAAGGTGATTTGCTTCCCGAAGCAGAAAAACGAAAATTCAAAAGCTGGCAATGGTAGTCATCCTCCGCACACAAAAATGTGGGCCGATTATCAACAGCGGTTGTATTGAAGCACTCAGCGAGTCCCTCGGGGATCGGAGACCCCAGAAGGTCGCACAGCGAAAGTCAAGTTTGTGAGGCTGCGGCTACGAGTCGTCTGCGAGAATTGGTTGGAGTGTGCAACCAATGCCGCCGAAACTTCCCCCCTATAAGAAAGAGAAGAGTGGGGGGGGGACCCCAATTCCATTCCAAGTCTTCCCATGAAACTAGACAATGGAACATCATAAATGGAGATCTCCAGGGTTTACTCCCTCCCCCAATTTGGGGAAAAGGGGATGCCGAAACCAGAACCCCAGTAAAAGACCGCTTTTGAATCTTTTAAACAACTGAGGTATACACCGCGCCTCTTCTCCAAAAGACGAGTCACAAAAAACGCCTCCTACCAAAGTGGTCTACCCAAAACCATGTCCCGTTTCGCATCTCGCCGGCCCCGAAGAATCTCACGCGCTTTTCCCCAGCTGAAGCAATGAGGGTCTCTGCCCAGATAGGCGAGGGCTGATTTGGGGCAGCTTGGGTTCCAGCGATTCGGTTCCAGGAGGTTTGGGACTCCCCCCCGGCTTTGTTGGGGGCGTGGGCTCAGGCCGGGGGAGGGGGGGCAAGAAGTAGTCCACCCCCTCAAGCAAGCCACCTGAGCATTGGAGTGCCGTGATGGAGCTGGAACGGGCCACGATTCAAACAGACCTGGTGCATTTGGTTTGTTCTTACTTGCCCAAAGGACCTGGAAATAACAGGTGAACCGTTTGGCACTTCTACCAAACATGGACTGGGAAAACCAAAAGGTCAAAAGGCCGGCTTTGACCGCAACTGAGTGTTGGATGAGACCGCAACTGCAACCCCTCCCAAACCCAAATCAGCTCCCGTCCCCACCTCCAACAGCTCTGCGGCACGGCTCAGGAGCCGTGCCACCATGTCTCCAGGCTTCACCTGCCAAAACCCAGCGACCAAGCCATGAGGAACCCGGACCAACCCATTGGTCATGTCATACTTACAGCCAAATGAGCCATCAAAACCCGGTACTAAGATGGTCTCCCCGGTGTTAAGGATGAAGAAGGCGGCACCCATGTGTGGTCGGGATCATCCCTACTGTGGATGGACAAAATCCTACACCACCCAAGAAACCCTGGAATGCTTTGATTCAACTGTAAATACCAACACGCAGCTTGGTTTCAACCATGGGATTCGTTTCGTCGCGCAAACGGATTTCGCAACCATCCGCGGTATGGATAAAACCATGGGCCCGACTGAGGGGTCCGAAGACAAGTTTCCCGCCAGAAAGGGGACATAAGGGGACCCTCTGGTGGGCCTCGCCTTCATCTTTCCCAACATACACCACGCATGGTCCGAAGACAATTTTCCCGGAGAAAGGGGAGCCTTGGTGGGTTCCATGTGGACAGCAGGGTATCCCTCGGCTTCATCTCTCACTCGCCCAAAGGACCCAAAATAACAAAAGGTGATCAGCCTTTGGTGCTGCTACTCAGCATGGAACTCACTAACTCAGGGAAACCAAAAGGTTAGACCCTCCCAGCGTTGCCAAAAGAATGGTTAACCAGAAGGGCGGATTTGATTAGATCCGGTCGATTCGCTTTGGTTGGCAGTGAGAAATCTGAGGAGGGTTCCTTGAAGACTCGTTTCCCTTTTTAGGACCCTCTCAGTGACACGTTAGACAGGGGGCTCCCTAGTTTTTGGGGTTCAAACCATTCAGACCATGGGGGCCATTGTTTACCGGATTCTTATCCACAATAGGTGAACCCTTCTTTTGATGGGCTTAGTATCACATTGTTTACCTAAAATTTTTCATCCTCCAAAGTGGGTCCACCATTTTAACCTGGTTGACGTTGGATCAAAAAATTAAATCTTAGCAGCTAAGTGGGGAATGTCTTTCCCACTAAACCACCATAAGCCTTTCTTGAATGTTTCCCAACAACCATGTTACCCTCCCTCCAACAATCATGGAAGTTGACAGGGGAGCTTTGGAAGACTACTTTCCTTTTGGGGAACCCCTTTGCGCACTTCCATGATTGTTGGAAAGAGGGTAATTGGTCGCATCTCACCTTTTTCCCCTCAAGGAGTTTCCTCCGAAAGGTGGGTCCGCCATTTTCATGGGCGGCAAGGCGTAAGGGCCAGGCGGCCACCCGGTGGGTCGCCCCCGCGCGTCCCAGCCCCGCCAACCGTCCCCCGCCTGGACTTGGAGCCGCTGCCCCGAGAGCCGCCGCAGCGTCACCCGCTCCGTGCACTGCGCGTCCTCCAGGTCCTCGGGGCACTCCTGGCGCATCAGGCGGCGGAAAACGCGGCGGGCGGGGGTTGGGGGTGGGGTGGGGTGGGGTGGTGGGGTGGGGAGGGGTGGGGTGGGGTGGGGTGGGGTGGAGGAAGGTTTGGGATGCCAGATGTCTACAGCAGGGATCCGGATGCATGAAAAACACCTGAACATTGCAACTTGTAAATGGTGGTTTCCAACTTTATCTTGGTGTTGAAAGAGCAACATGATTCAAATGGGCAAGCAAAATGAATTTCTTTTAAGGAGCCCTGAACAGCAATGCATCCATGCGTTGATACATGGTGTGTATGCCTGCCGGTGTGCATTCATGCATCTATGTGCATCCAAATCCAACGGGTTTCGGGTGGGTGGGGGGGTTGCCATGGCACCTGACAGCCAGAACTGACCTTCCAGGTGCCCCCCAACAGGTGCCATGGCCACGTGGAGGAAGGGTGGACTTGGCTTGGCTTCGAGGAAACTCACCTGACATCATCTGGTGCTTTGGGCTGGTGGACTTGGTTGGGTTTCTTTGGTTTCATTTGTTTGCTTTGCCCGGGTCTGCTTGGCTTGATTTCGGGGGTTCCAACACCAGAGCTACAAGCTTGGGCAGTGGTGAAATGGGCAAACGCCTGGTCGGCGTTCCCAGCTTTCGCAGCTGTCACTTGGCAGCTGTCTGGTTGGTTGGTTGTCCGCTAGAAGCCGCGTCTTCAAACTGGGCGGGCCTTTGGCTTGGCGCGAGTGAAACGTCTTAGCAGCTTTTGTGGGGGCAACTTCCGCCCGTATACAATCAACCAAGTTGCAGGTCGGTTCCTCAAAATAGTCAAGCACGAAAGCTTCGCCCTTTCATCCTTTGGGCACCCATTCCAAAGTCTTTCCCGGGCCTCTCAAAGTCTCACGGGGGTTCTAGTAAGCAAACCAGACGTGGACTTACTTCACAGGAGTTGCCCCATGTTCCGAGGGAGCTCGAGCTTGGGTTTCGAGCACTTCTCCTCGCAACATCGAGGAAATAGACATTCCATCATGGGGGCTGAGGGGGTGGGAGGGGAGGGTGAGGGAGCCCAAGCTTGTTTGTCCCTCCCCCCCAGCCCCCATCTCAAAGAAGTCCTCCCAACGGGTTCTCAAGCAAGTTCAAACGCTTGGAGTTGGAGGAATTAGACAATGGAACTCTCAACAGAAGGCTTTGGCTATTCATGCATCATATGACATGGCTTCCTGAGGGGCTTCCTTTTCAAACCGGGATACCCTCAAACAGCCTCACCTGTTCTTCCTGCTGGTCTACAAAGTGACGAAAAGCTCCCTTAGGAAATAAATAGGATTCGGTCCCCTACGTAGTTGGGGTTCCTTTTGGTTTCGTTGTCCTCCATTTTAAAGGGCTAGCTTGGATGGAAATGGACAGGAGCACTACAACAAAACCAGTGGTCAGGGCGCCGGACACCCCAAAGAAGCACCAAAGAGGGGACCCCTACAAGTCACTAGCCCCCATTCGAATTGGGAGGGCCTGCTATTGGAGCTAAGGCCTCCAAATCCGAAGATCCTTTTGTTGGCTTGTGCCGGGAGATATGCATGGCTTCAAAGGGAACCAAACGAGCACCCTCCCAAAAAGGGCGGATGTCCCTTTCGTTTCCCCGTCAACCCACCCAAAATGTGCGTGCCCTCAAAAACAACAACAACAACACACACACACACACACACCCCTCCCCCAAAGGAGGCCTTTTAAAGGCGTGGCTCCATTTGCTTAAGTCCCCTGGAAAGAATAAACATATTTCCAGTATTGATAGATTCCCTTTAAAACCAACAAAGTAGAATCAAACAAATATTCATTTCACCAACCGGAAGCTCGTCTCGTCAAAACCTCCGGGCCTTGGCGCTGAGGGGCCCGGAGAGCAACGGCCCCAGCCCGAGATGTCGGCCGTCCACCATCGCGAAGCCCCGGCCCAGGGGGTCGTCGCTGCTGAGCCGCTCCTCGGTGTTTCGGGGTTTTTCGGGTTTCGGAGCGGCGAGCGGCGAGCGGCGAGCGGCCCGGCACAAGGAACCGGCCTTGCGTTGTGATAGAAATCCGAGGCAAGGCCAATGTGGTTTTTTTGGGTGTCGAACCATGTTTTCCTTTGTTTTGAAAAAAAGCAACAAATAACCATATGTTTTTCCATTTTTTCTTAATTTTAAAGCAACAACAACACACGCAACAGCTGCAATGGTGTTTGGTTCTCGGGGTTACCTGAGGAGTTGGCCCATTTGGTTGAGGCAAAGCAACACCAAAGAACAGATGGGCCCAAAGGTAACTCTGGCTTTTAGGGGAGCCCAATTCTTAGAAGGCTTTACCATGGTTACACAAGGCCGGTGTTACCAAGCTTTAGTACTCTAAGGCACCCCACGGTTGTCAAGGGCCCTATGTTGGCTCTCCAATCCCAATAGAGCTGTACACTAGCGGCTAAGGCACAGTAGGGGCAACAGGGGTCCGCTTTAGAGCCTTCTTCAACCAATGGGCAAAGGATTCGGGCAGCAGGGGTTGCAAAAGTTTCGTGGGGACAGCCAACAAGTAAGGCGAGACTGACGTATGTGTACAGCTATGCTGGGTTGCTCAACATGTTCTCGTCTGGCATAAGGATTTTGGTCAATTTAGTGAACAAGCAAGTTTAAACAACGGAACTGTTCAAGTCTCCAGCCTGAAAGGGCTGCTTCACTCTACCAAGCTTGCTCTTGCAGTTTGATAACCCACCGGGTGACTGGGCTCGACTGTTCATGGCTTATGGTGTTTTCAGGCCATCAACATCGACACAAGCTTGCTGTGCTTCTCAGGAGACAAGCGCCGCTGGTTGTGTGCGCGGCTACAAAAGCACCCCCCCGCCCGACATTGACTTCCTTTTTTAAAATTGAGCGATCCCTTTTGAGATCTCCAAAACTGCTCTCTGGTCTTGACGGTCAACGTTCCTAACCACAAAAACCTGGGGGTCCAACCTTAAAACAAAATCTGCGGGTCCAACCTGTAACAAATGTCTGGGCCTCCAACTTTTAAAAAGAAACGCACCTGCACGGTTTCCTTGGCAGTTTGCAAGTACCCCCCTCCCCCCCCTAGCGTGTTTCTTCGGCCAGGCGCCGGGCAAGAGCGCGCCAGCTGCAGAAAGGTGAGCTCCACCCATTCGCGCTGCTCATTGTCCAAGACTTGCTGGGACACCTACTGTGGAAGGACGAAATCCTGAACCACCATTGCACCACCTAAGAACCCTGGGATGGTGATTTGCCTGTAAAAATGCCAGCAAACAATTTGTTCCCATGTTTTGAAAGCAGTGCAGGATTTCGTCCATCCACAGTACATCGCAGTCGGTGACATGTCTCCACCTCCACTACCAAAAGGGACAGTTGCGAATATATCATTTAAGTAATAGTGGCTATCGGGGTTGTCTACTCCAAATCCCCAAGAAACAAATGCAAATGTTTCCAGGTGTTATCTACTCCATTCTGCCTTTTGCGTAGTGGAAACCAACTCATATTTTGCAAAACATACCCCTTGCGCGGCCCCATCTCTTGGTCGCTGCAACGAGCCCCCTGCAAAAAGTTTAAACCTGTTTGGGGGTTTAGTTCGGAAAACACCGTTAATTCAACTAAAAAGCTAAAGTCTAAAGATCCGTTGCCCAAGAGCAGTCAAGAAATCTATCCCCAACGCGCGTCACCCGGGCGCGAAGCCTAGAACGTGCCTGGATCTTCTGGCCGCAGTGGACCCAACCCCAGGACCGGGCCAACATCTGCGGCGCCTTCTTGATGAAGACCTGTCACAGCCAAAACCTTTCCAAGGCCCAGATTCCTTAAAAAAGTGGCGCATGTTTATTTGTTTTATCAATATGGTGAAACCTGTCAGGGTCAAAACCTGGAAACTCAACGAACAGGCCCTGAAACTTGGGAAGTGACGCAAATGCCTTTGCCAAGCTTTAAATGGTCCAGACATGAAACTGAATGGCAGTTGCACCTGACGTGGATGTCTTTTTCAGGGTACCTTGCTGTAAAGTGAAATGAAAGGGGAAATCCGCCATGTGGGGAATCCCCTTTCGACATGCAAAACCCTTGCGGAAGCTTCTCCCAAGTAGCTGAGCACCTCTGGAAGAAATATCGAGCGAGTGCTCCTGTCTTGCCACTTGGAGGAGGCGCTGCGTGCATTGGATGAGCTCAAAACAGATTTGCCCCGTCTTCCCTGACTGCATTCAGATCTTGGCATAGATTGCAAACGGATGGGTTTCTGCTTCACAGGGTTCCCTAAATTTCCCCATACAAAAACAACATCTCACCTGAAAGGGGCAAACAAAACCGCCAAAAGGGGACCCTCTTGTACATAGGACATTATTGCTTCACGTTTCTCTGCGAGCGAGGGTAACCCCTGGGCCAGCCTTGTCGTAGGTCACCTCGAACCAGCCTCAATCCGGTGGCCCCCACAACCCGGGGGCGAAATCTATGCAGAAAGCATAGATGTCTGGCTTGTACCCAAGTGAAAACATGTGGGGGACCATCCTTGGAGCGATGCGCACCTCCTTATTACATTCCTCGCGGATAGGAACACACCCATTTGAGTGTGGTTTGGAGGGTACCTTCTTTGGGATTCGTGTAAAGGATACCCAAAGAAACACAACGCTCATTTTGGGGATCTATTGCCCCATTGACCGCCATTGACCCAAAAAAGCGCGCATGGATTCAGCCTTGACCGTCATAAATCCCAGCCATACGCCCGGCCCGGCCCAAAGTCCGCTTCGGCTGGGTGGTTTGGAGCCCGGGGGTTTGGTGCTGCTGGTTACCTGACAAAAGCCACCAGCCCCGGCCCCAAAGTGGAAACTCCACAAATCGATCCTTACCACAACTCCTAAACCACAAAGGTCCAAAACATTTAAGAACAACAACTACCGCCCCCTCCAAACGCTAAAGTGCTGGAAGAATCGCCTTACCCTCCTAAAACTTTAAAACCACCGAGAAAAAGTATTTAAGCGCCGAAAAACCTGGAGTCTCCATGACCCTTAAAAAAACGGGGTCATTACCCAAAACAATGGTTGGTCATTGACCCATTTTCATTTCGGGTCAGAAGACTCCAGGTACCCAAAACCGGTGGAGCCTACGGAAATCCCTTCGCGCCCACGGGGGGCCGAGGGCGAGCCGAGGCGCGGCACTCCTCCAGCTGCGCCCGCGGGTGAGGCTCCGACGGCAGCCCATCCTCCGGGTCCAGCGAGAGGTCCCCGCAGGCGGCGCGGGCCACGCGCCAGACGAGGCCCACCTGCAAAGCGGAAAACTCGCGGGGGAACGGGGATCCGGATGCACACACCGATCGAACATTGCAACTTGTAAATGGTGGTGTCCAACTTTTTTAAGGTGTTGAAAAAGCAACATGTTGCAAATGGTTGCAACATGAAATGCATATCTTTTAAGGAGCTCTGGGTAACTTCCATGTCCGTTCTTTCCAGGGATCCGAATCTTTCTAGGAAACCACCAAACAAATTGGGGGAAATGGCCGGTGTTTTTCTTTTTAAATGCCGTCCATTGCTGGGGATTGGTGGTTTGGATTGGTGGTGCCTCTTGAGCCTATCAAACATCGGGGGGGAAAAAGGAGTTGAACAATCGGGGGCTTCAAACCGTCACATCCCTTGGTATGGTTGCAAAGAACTGTTTTTTGCAGCCCCCTACTAAAAATGAACAGTGAAGAAACTTGAGCCGATCTTTTTTTTGGCCGAGGGAACACTCAAGGAAAACAAGCACCAAGCAGCTCTTTTTCGGTGGTCTGGGTTGGTGGTGCCTCCTGGTTTTTAAAGGAAAAAAACCTATCACTGGAAGCATGTGGTTTTGTTCTCCTGCGGGGCAAAAAAGCAAATGGTCAGCTTCCCTCCAATTGGTTTGGATTGGGGGTTTGGTGGTGTTCCGGAGGGGTTTCCTATCTACCGTCTACATAGTTGAAATCCCCAAAACACCAAGCCAAACCTTGCTGTTTCGCCCCCTGGAAAAAGCATATAGGTGATAGATTTCCGAGAAAAAACAAAAACCAACGCGGGGATATTCAGCCAAATGGGCGTTTCTCCAAATAATCAAAGCGTGAAAAAGGCATTCCTTTTGGTGCCCATATGAAGCCACCAAGGGGTACCGTATTTTGAGAGCCGCACACGCACGGGTACGAAACGGGGCGGCGGCAAAACAAAGGGCGCCTTCACCGCTGGATTTCGACTCAAGATTGCACGTAATTGCGAGAACAAAACAACCGCTCCCTCATTCCAACCCTGCTTGACCATGGTTTTCTGGCTTACCATTTCTTTGTCCACGTTGCCGTAGAAACACCCCACCACACGGTCCCTTTCAAAAATGGCAACGTGCATGGGAGGGTCACCCCTTTGCATGCGGTTTTCCATATGCTCACTTCCTAAAGCCCAGGAACTTTCTATTGAAAACAAAGATGGTCCGAACCCAACAAGTGGCTAAAGTCCAAGATCTCACTGAGTGAGTCTCTCACTGAGGGCCTGAAATAAAGGTGATCACCTTTAGCCCCCAAAAATGGACCAAGAGAAAACTGAAAGGTTAACAGGTGGATCAGTTTTGGACGCTGTGGGAAATGACCAGTTCTGTGATACCACAAAAAGGGCTTCCTCAAAGACTACCCCTCCCCCCCCCAATATTACGGGGGGGGATTCCCTAGTATCACACAAGTGGTTGGAAGAACCCCGAACGATCGTTTGCATGTTGCATCTGATTTTGCCGCCTTCGCCGCCTCCTCTGGGGTGAGGCCGCGAGCAAAGGACCCGCCTGACAGAGCTTCAGATGTCTTTCTTTGAGGCTCCCTCCAAAAAGACACCTGGCGTTCACTTTCTATCCAAAGGAAGCCATGTGACCATCCAGGTGAATCATCGCGAAAGAAATCCAGCTTGGAAACATCATCCACAATTGCGAAATATCTTCTGTACTGAAGGTCTCTTTTGGCTGAACATGGTCTCCATATCCTATGTCCAGGCCCATGCGACCCAAGGAGCAAAATCGCACGCAAAGCACAACCGTGGCTGCCTAAATGCAAAAACACAAAATCGAGGATTTCAGGCTCTTCTTGTTATTTTTTTTTGAAAAACAAAAAAGCCGAAGCCAGGACTCGATCGAGTCTACCCAAAACCCTGGGCAAACATCAACAACACCGGAGATCTGCGACTGCGTTTTCATGGATGCGACTGTACCCCATCTTCGTCCTCCTTTTTTGTTTGGCCATGCAGTCCAGGGATCCGGATGCATTATACACCGATCGAACATTGCAACTTGTAAATGGCGGTCTCCAACTTGTTTTAGGTGTTGAAAAAGCAACATGTTTCAAATGGGCAGGCAACATGAATTTATTTTAAGGAGCCCTGTACAATTATCACCTTTCAAGTGGCGACTAAACATGAAGCTTTCGGGGTGGCTAAAAATGGACCCTACGAAAACCAACATGGACCCACACAAAGCTGGCCAGGCTCAGCCAAATTGCTTATGGGACACTGGTGTTTTTTTACGCATGTTCTGTGGCCGGGTAAAAATGAAGGAAACCCAAAGAGGCAAAGGACGAAGAGCTACTGTTGGCATGGTCGGACAATGGGCCAGTGGTTTCGCTTCCCGAGTGGGGCCCAAAGAAAGCAACCGAACTGTTTTACCAAAATGGCCCAACCCAAGTGACTAAAGCCTGAAACGGCACGGAACTCAGGAAGTGAGGGGTGTTTTGCAGACCCCCGACAAAAAAAAACAAAAAACGAAGTCACCACAGGGGACATGCCCCCCAACCCCCCCAACCCCCCCACCCCCACCCCCCAACCCCCCCACCCCCACCCCCCAACCCCCCCACCCCCAACCCCCCCACCCCCACCCCCCAACCCCCCCACCCCCCCAAAAAACTCACCGGAGGCCTGGCACTCGTGTGGAGATGATGGCATGCCGAAGTTGGGCCGCTGAGAGCTGAGCGAATTGCCAAAGGTCCTGGAGCGGATTGGGTCGACAGTAAATGATTCGGTGTTATCTTGGTTGCTGCAACGACCCCTCTGCCAAAAGCTGTTTCACTTCTTGCGGGTTTAGTTCGGAAAACCCATGAATTCCCCAAAAAGTTAAAGTCTAAAGATCCAAACCAATAGCACTCAAGCTTAAGTCGGGTAGATGTATCTGTGTATATTCCAATACTATAAATATATATATACACATATGCACACATATGTAAAGATAGATGTGTCTTGCTTTGATGATACCTTGTCTTATAGCTTTAAAGGGAACCCGAATGGAACAGCACCGATTTGCTTGTGGGCCCAAAAACCAGAGCGTTATCTTCCGTCAGAATATGCCACCACTTTTTGGAGATTCCAACAAAGGGAAATGGGGGATTCTCCCCGGTTGAGACGAAAGGACCCAGACTAGGTCCTCCAGTAGAGAGCTCGAAATAAGGGTACCCACTTTTTTCTGCAGTCTATTTTAGTAGGGGAACCATCACAAAAAAAAAAGAAACGGTAAAAGGGCACTACTGGAGAACCTAGAAAACTTGGTTGCTGCTGATCCCTCTGCAAAAAGTTAATAACTTTTTGTGGGTTCAGTTCGGAAAACCGATTGATTTCCCAAAAAGTCAAAGTCTAAAGATCCGTTGCCCAATAGCAGTCAAGACAAGAAGCACCAGGTGTTTTCGCGCCGAACCTCGAGGCGTCCGACCGGGCAAAAAAACAAAAAAACCGAACCCCCCCCTTAAAAAAAAAGAGGAACAAAGAAAGCCTTTAGGAAAGCGAATGAAACCAAGATGAAGCCTTTTTGGGATTTTTTGGGCTCGCCCCGGCTCGCGGGTCCGCCACAGCGCCGATCTCCTCCACCACGGCCTCCCACACAGAGATCTCCAGCTGGGCCCAGTCCCGGGCGTCCGAGACATCCTCGCGGATCGAAAACAAAGAAAAAAAAACAAAAAAAATATATAAAAAAAAGCGGGGGCTTCTCGTGTGCGGTCCTCTGGCTTTTTGGCGTGATAAGCCTTTGTCGAAGCCCAAGCAGCTGAACAAAAAAGAACGTGTGTGTGTGTGTGTCTATACATATATGGTGATCGCCAAATTCAATTCCAAGCATTGTTGCCTGGAAAAACTGGAGATAATCTTCTTTGATATAGTGGGGTTCTTACGTGATCTCTTGGTGGACTCCCTTTTCTGATCACAAAAGTGATCCCCGAGTTGGGCACCACGAAGGGCCAGCCAGGGGGTCGGATTCACCCGCAACATTCACAAATGCGGATGGGAAGTTCTCCCGAAAGTGACTCGAGCTTCCCTAAGACTATTCCTTCAGGAACTGTTCAATCTGAGCCCTGGACAACGGATAAAAGAATTAGAAGCATCAACCGAAGAATCCACCTGTAGATGTACCAAACATACTGGGTTAGGCTATTACGGGGTTTTCAACAATATCAAGAAAATCCCTAGTGGTCAATTTACACCCTGCGCTTTTTTTGGAAGTTTCGTTGCCCCACAATAGGTCGCTGCCATCACCACTGCCCTCCTGCAAATCTTCCCCTCTCTGTTGGTTCCGGCTGGTCATCTGCAGGGCCTATCCCCAATTCCCCAGTGACCCGGTAGATTAAGAATGGAACCGTTTTGGGTATGGATCAAATTGAAGGTAGCTCTCCTTGCAGCTTCTGTTTAGGCTAACCTCAAAAGCAGGCACCGAAAAAAAGCAAACCGATTCATGTGTTTTTTCCTTGAGGTTTCTATGATTGAGGGAAACCAACAAGAAACCGGCAGTTTGTTGTGCTTGACACAAAACCCAATTGATTTTTCCCGTCCCAGCCTCCAGCGCTCGCAGCTGCGAGCGCCCAGCTGCCGCCTCTCTCCGCACTTTGCGGGGCTTCTCCGGCGGCAACAGCTGCATGGCAGCTACACGCTCATTGGAATTGGAGTGGGGGATAGTGGGGGAAGAGAGGGGTGGAGTGGGGTGGAGTGGGGTGGAATGGGGCGGAGTGGGTTGGAGTGGGGTGTTGCCAGCGGTACCTTTTGCAGTATAACTAGCTGTTTTGCGGTTGGGGGTTGAGGCCAAACGGAAATCAGGCTCTGGCGACTTCGACACAAGCGCTCGATACTCTGCGCAGCTTGGCCATTGCGAGAGCTTAAGCAGGCAAGAATCTACTCAGAGGTCGCCCTGTTGGGGCCATACAGAACATGGGTGCCGAAAGGGGAAGAAAAGGATCAAAAGGTCGATTAGCCTTAGTGAGAGAATCTCAGAAGCTTCTAAGTCGATGTATGAAGCTTCTAAGTCGATGTACGCGGCATGTTTCTCGAGCCACGGACGTCGAAAGCGCACCTTGGGCCTCAAAAGAAATCACCTGGCTTATCCAGTCCGCTTGGTGGAACACGGCGTCTAGGGGTCAGAGGTAAGTCGATTTTGCTGACATGCGCAAAGGATGCCCCCTACCACGTTGTTAGCATGCCAAGAACACTCAAAAGCGCAAAATACGGCCAGTTCAACAGATTCTTGGTTCCCCTTACTTGTAAGATTGAGTTGGCATCCGAAACTCCCCTCACACTTCCGGACCTTCCTGAACAGCCCGGATCAGGAGTTCAGTCCCTCTAAACTGAAACAGCTGGTCGCTGCCGCTCCTTTGGCTTGTGCACTGAGGGAGCGCATGGATCTTAAGAGCACCTTCCATGAATCAAGCAACCGGATCTGGTCCAATCCCGCTCCAAGGTGTGAACAAAAAAAACTGATCCGCGATTTGATCCGCGAATGCACGCCAGTCAGTAGAAAGTCGAACCCGAGTGGGTCGATGCTTTCCTTAAGCCGCCTTGCGGACCTTTGCGCACTTCCTGAGTGGATTGGTCAGAACAAGTCCAAAATGTTTGACTACCACCAAACTTCCATTTGCTTAAGCCCCTGAGAAAAAAGAAAAAAAAACGAAGAAAACACAGTAGTGACAGATCCCCTTTAAGACCAACAAGGGACAAAGCAACTACCCACAAGTGCCTAAACTCGTCCCAGAACTCAGGAAGCGAGTTTCAGCTAGGGCCTGGGGTGTTTTGGGCCACCTGGACCCATGCAACCAAGAGGCTGCTCATGGCCGGCGAGCTCGCTTGCACAAGCAAGAAAACCGCGTTAGATGAGAGTGGATGCGACCACTCCGGCACCAAAATCCGGCTGACCCGGGAAAGTATCGGGAGCTGTACAGCTTGACTTGGACATCTGATCCTGGAAATGGAGCTGTTGCCTGGTGTGTGCATCGTTTGAATCAGAACCAACACCCGCGGCGGTTCTCCCCCCCGTTTGGGGGTGTAGTGCAGGCTAATGAGCCCAATGCTGCGGTCAAGCTCAAGCTCAAGCAAGCCAGGGGGCTGCATGATGGACCCTGAGCAATCATCCGGGCAAAACACTGAATGTTTGCAAAACTGAACCTTTCTTGGTTGCTGCAATGACCCCCCTGCAAAAGTGAATGACTTTTTGGGGGCTTAGTGGAAAACACCTTTAATTCATAAAAAGTTAAAGTCTAAAGATCCAACCTTTCCGGAGAAAGCCCTGATTGACATCTCATTGGCTGTGGGAAGACGCTTAATGACAGAAGGTGTCTGTTGAGACTTTGTCATCCCGCATCGACTTGATGGGAAAGATCATATTGCTAGTGGTCTTCCCCAATGGTCATGGCCATATAAAGGACATTTTGATCAACCCCCACTTCCCCTCCCCTCCCCCCGGGACAGTCATTCACCCCACAAAACGATCGCCGCCCCCTTCCAGGGCTGACATCGCTTGTAAGGAGTCGCCTGAAATTTCGCCCGTTGGCTCCAGTTTCGCGATTTCCAGCTGCTGCCCACTCCGTCTGGAGGTGCCTTATTTCCTTGTTGGGTTCCAAAAGGCTTGGTTGCTGTTTAGCCCTCTTGCAAAAAAATGACAACTGCTGGTGGGTTTAGTTCGGAAAACCCCTGGATTTCAAGCAGAAAGCTAAAGTCTAAAGAGCCAACCCAATAGCAATTAAAAAGAGAAATGCTCAACATCTGGTTAAACTAGCTTTAAACTTTGAACCTGGCAAGTGGTAGCTGCATTTCCGTCGCACCTGTTTCTTGGGGATAAAAGGCACTCGATCGGGCTAGGTCCAAGAACAGGTCAGCCTCCCAGAAAAGCAACTTACACTTGGACCTTCTACAAAGGTCGGGTCAAGAACGGCTGGCAATTGAAAAGCGAAAGGATTAAGGCGAACTAAACTGGGTTGTCCTCAGATCCCCCGCTAGAAGTTTAACTAGTGGGTTAAATACGGACACTAAAAAGCTAGAAAGCTAAGGGGATGGCTGAGAACCGCCAAGAAAACACGGGTTGTTTGTTGCCTCCTGCGCTTGCCAGGAGCTTCACTTGATGGTTTGATCACTTGCAAGTGACTCACCAAACACTGAGTCTTACATAGCGGCCCGGAAAAGTTGAAAACATACCCGTCACCCTTTGCTTTCCTTTAGGCAAATGACAGTTGTGGGCTATTTGGCTGTGGCTCAAAAAGATGTTCCCAAAATGGCCCTTAGGTAAATTTGGAAACAAAGACCAAATCCTGCGTAACCATAGCTCTTAAATTTTGAGCCCCACCCATTGGCCACCCAAACAGGCCCGGACATGTGCTTTTATCGCACGGTTCTCTTGTTCCAGCAGCTGCAACACTTTGGCATCCACTGCACCTCCGAGAGCCCCCCACCCAGCCTGGCTTCGGCATCCTACAGCGCAGCCGGTACCCGTGCCGCGCTCAACCAATTCAAAGGCATGGGACAGGAATACCTTGGACAAGAGGTACCTCCAAACAGTCTTTGTCCATTTTGTTCCTCGCTTGAAGAGGGTTTCAAAAAGAAAGCTCAACGAGGGATCCTGAAAATCGGCGCCAGCGAAGAGAATGCTCAAAAATGTGCTGTGTAGCCAACTCATCGGAACAACATCCTCCGCAAAGGTGGCCAAGTATCTGCAGGGCCCATTCAAATGCATAAAGCATGCCGCAAAGCGTAAAGTCCAGAGACTGGTGCAGTGAGGAGTTTGCAGGCCAAGCGGGGCGCAGGTTGCGCACCCAGGGCACAGGATATGTCGCTCTGGATGTGGGTTTTAGGGCACCCTGTTTGGTGTTTTGTACTGGCAGCCCATGAAAAGAACGTGCGGACTTTGGAAAACGGCGCTCAAAGTGGAAAATCGGTCCATTTCCTAAACCGGCGCTTGGGTTTCCTTTAATTCCCAATCACTACCAACCCAAAGAGCCTTTTCCACCCTAGCCACCAACGTCTGCATTATATATTTTTTCGATTCCAACAACCGATGAGATCCTGAGTGCTGTGGACCCCTCTGCAACAAGCTTAACTCTTTGTGGGTCCGATGGAAAATCCGCTTCCCAAACGTTGAAGTCCAAAGATCCAGCCAAATGGCCATCAAGAGAAATGGATTCCAAGGACCTTTCGGACCCTTCCCCGATCTTGGAGCTGATCTGCTGCCCAGTCACAACTTCTCACCTCAAGCCCGACGACTGAATTTTGAATTTCGGGCGCGCACGGGAGATGAGAGGCCCGCGCCTTTACTTGGGTTTAGTGAAGTGAGCCACTTCCTCAAAACCCGAGTAGATGAAGGTTAGTAAGGGGCAGTCCCAGCCGGAAATCGTTGCGGTTTCCGCCTTTCTAATTCTTGAAGCACGGTGCTGGGTTCACCATTTTTGTACCAGGTTTTGATTGTGACTCAAGTGAAGGTTGAAAATCAGCTAGGAGAACGTTGGAACCATGCCAGCTCGACAGGATAGACCCCTGCAAGAACACACACATTCTCCCAGTTCGCCTATCTTCCATGATTGCCTCCAGAAGGATCCAAGTGGGCAGAAGGGGCAAAGAGGTGGACAAAGAGGAGCACTTGCTGCAAGGGAAGCGAAAGGAATCCCCCCCCAACTCAGACGCTGGCTTTGGCAATCCCTGATTGAGGGCCAGGGGATCCAGAATATATGACGCTCGTGCCTGGCTCGCGAACTCCACTTCCTACATGCTTTCAGTTGCTGTCATGCTACGCCCTAACCTCCAGTGGCCATGGGAGACAAAGGGCACTGTTTGGGTATTGACCTGAAAGGGAGCCTGAGGGAAAAAAAAAGACAAAAAGGGGCACATGATCACATACTACTTGCCGGTGCTTGCCTCGGATCGATCCACTGGGAAACGATGCCTGTCAATGACTTGGTTTGGGATACTTCCCCAAGTTGGCTTCCAAGACCCCCTCCCCCCCTAAAAAACAACAACACTTGGTTGACGTTGGAAAGGGAGCAAAAAGAAATAGCAGATAAGTGGATGGATTTCAACCACTAAACCACAATGAGCAAAAATGTAACATGTTTCCCAACGACAACCATGAACATACAACAACGCCTAGAATCCATACCTTCCCCAAGTTGGCTTCCAAGGACCCGCTCCCACAAACCTAGAATCCAACCCACCAGTTCATTCTCTGGGCCTCCCTGCTGCTGGGTTTCCTGCGAGAATCTCCGGATCACGTGCTGGCTACCCGCTGCCAAAGAAGTTTAACTTGCTTCTTGGCGAGTGGCAAAACACAGCAAAAAAAGTTAAACTTGCCAAGAAACTTGGCTTGGCCCACAAAAAGGCTATGGGAAACTTCCCATAGTGGAAAACTTACTTTTTGTGGGCTTCTTGGCTTTAACTTGCTTCTTGGCCCACAAAAAAGTTAAACATGAAAAGTTCAACCAAATCGCAGCCAAGATGTTCCGGCAACACGGCATATCGATGGTCGGAAAGAGCAAACATCGCGGTCCGTTGACAGGTTGCCTACACCTGAAGCTCTGGAACCCTTTCACTCACTTCCTGCCTGGATCGGCCAAACAACCGATCCGTTTGTTTGCCACCAACATGGTCCAAACCCCAAATGTGACTGAAGAACGCCTCCACCAAAATGGTCCAAACCCAAAAAAGTACCTAAAGCCCAAAACGGATCTCAGGGATGGAGTCATCCAGCCCCTTCGCATCAACGCCGCGTTGTTCGCGTCGCAGCGTCCAGCGCGCGTCCTCAGGCAGAAGCGCAGCGCAGCGCCATGCTGGAGGATGACGCAGTCCAGGTCCGGCTCCAGCCGCCTGAGCCAGGGGAACGACTTGCTAGGTCCAGTAGAGAGCTTAGCTGGGTTGCTACAACGCCCCCCCTGCAAAAAGTGAATGACTTTTTGGGAGTGTAGTGGAAAACAGCTTTAATTCCTCAAAAGTTAAAGTCTAAAGATCCAACCCAATAGCAGTCAAGGAAGGGTACCGCTTCGTGTTTCTGGACGTCTATTTTAGTAGGGAACCCTCCCCCAAAAAAAGAAACGGTAATAGTTGGCACTACTGGGGGACCTAGTCAGGTACCTCCGGGCAACTCTCACTCGTCGTCGACAGGCTTTCATGGCCTTCGGAGAAGTGTTCAAATCCAGTGAAGCTGTGAAAGACATTCTCCGAATCTTGGTTGCTGTTGACCCTTCTGCAAAAAGTATCACTTGTTGTGGGTCCAATGGACAATCCACTGTTTGACAAAAAGTTAAAGTCCGATTATCCAGCCAAAAAGGCATAGAGTTGAGTGGCTGGGCCTACGTCTGAACTGCTTGTTTGCCACTCAAACGTTGATCCAAACAAAATGCTTGGTCTACCCAAGGCACGCAAGGCAAAAGGCCATCAGCATCCATTTCACACTGTTGCTAGCATTCGCCGACACAGAACCGTGCAATCGAAATGAATGGCGAATGCTAGGTCGCCCAGCTTTTGCATGCATGCCAAGCTTGTGTTACATCTGCCTGTGACATCTTGTGCCTACGCCACCGTGGGGCAGAACAAACAAGCCAGAAAACAAACATAGACCACCCCATGGGCTATTGCACTTGTGGCATACAAGCGGCTGGTTTCCAACAAGACCAGGAATAATTCATGGCGTAAGCACGCAGCAGCGGTTCAACTGCTCCTCGGTTGAGGCCACAGCTTTTCGCCCAGCATGTCATCCACGCTTTCTGGCACGTGCCCATCCAACAGGGATCCTTACATACAGCTGAACATTGCCTTGTAAATGGTGGTGTCCCTTCATGTTGGTGGAAAAAGCCATGTTCTAAATGGGCAACATGTATACCTTACGCAGCCCTGACACAAACAACCGGGGCAAACATAGGTCTCAGGAGGCATTCAGGAAACCCTAGGTGCCACGCCTGAGACCATGTGGAGTCAGAGCACCCAGCCCTACTAAGGAAGCCTTGTTCGCTATGTAGCCACTAATGCTAGAGAAACTGCCACTACCAAGAAACAAAGGCTGGTGTAGAACCACCAGGAAACCTGTGTATAAATCTGTAACATGCCACTCATGAAGACATGATGCACTAAAACCACAAACAGCACCATGAATTGACGCCAAACTCAAGCTACCGTCAAAACGGTGACCTTGTGGGCCTGGTGAGCCGCTCAAAACGGACATAGGACAACCACAAGGTCAGATCAAACGGTGGATTCGCCTTGGTTGCAAGGTGAGGGTTCCTTTGCCCCAGCAAATTATTTTCCACGGCTTTCCTCGGAGAAAAGCTTCAGGGTCTCCATTGGAAACTTGGGGAGTTCTGGATTTGACGGATTCGCAAGGACTCCAGATCAAGCAAGGCCGCCGTTTTTGGACCTCGCGAAACAAGGGAGACGTTTCTGGTATCCGAGGGATTGCTATCTTGGAACCCTGCTTCTAGGGGAACTGCTTTGCGGATCTAATGCAAAAGTAGCAGGCCTTGACTCAATACCGTCAATGCGTAAGACTCTGGAAGTGCTTAAACGTACTAAAATGCGGAACTGCCCTGTTCATCAGCGTGTCTATTCATCCTGGGTTCCAATATACGCAGCCAGAAGGAAAGTCACTCGTCTTCCGGGTGGAAGAGCGTGGTGCACGCCTCTTGCCATTACCACTCCTGATGTCACGTTTGCGGTCAATTTACGCACTGGCGAGATTCGTGCATTGCAACTTTACATTGCCTGCAACGCAGTTGCACTAACACACACACACACCACACACACACACACACACGTACAAGCACAACATAAAAGCCATGATTTGACTTCTCAACCTTTGACTCCCAAGCAACACCACGCTTGATCTTTCATGCATTTAGTGAATCTTGCAACTCTGAACTGTTTTCAAAACAGACCCGAACGACACTAAACAGGGCTGAAGGCCTAACAAGTGATGTTTAAGTTGGCTCGAGGAGAAAAATGGGTGCGTCTCAAAATTAAAACAGGAGGGGCAAACCGCAGGTTTTGGTCTATGTTTCCACTTTCCAGGGTTCCATTGTGGTACCGTTGTTTTTTGAGCCGCAGCCAAATGGTGCTGGGAGCGAACGGTTTCAGAAAGGCGCGCGTTTTGAAGCCCTGAAGCCCGCGCCTGTAAGGAAGCAGCTCCATTGGTGAGACGCCAGGTACTCTGCCGCAGCCTGCAACCTCTCCAAGCTCGCCTGAACCGGTCCGGGACGCTGGACCGGAGAAAGCTAGCACCGTCTAAACGGACGTCTTCCAATAGGTTTCCCACTTCGTTGCCCTTTGGGACCGAGAAATGACAAGGGGATCGATCACCTTCAAAGGCCACTCGAAATGGACGCCTGAAAGGCTACATGACAGCCCTGGAAGCAACCTTCCGCCCAAAGGGCTCAACGTAGTCAAGTTGAAGATTACCATTCATATAGACCAAACAAAAAAAAAAAACGCCATGTTTTGCGGTCATGGGTGGACGTAGAAATGACAGATTCTGCTAAAACCCCCACCATTGAATGTATATACACTAGGGTGGCTACTACTGGGCCTTGGCAGTTCACTTCCCATCCAGTGGATTAGCCAAACAAAGGTCCAAAGTCTTATTGCGTTTGACACCAGCTCGCTTCCTGAGTGGAGTGGCCAACACAACTCCAAAACTCCAAACTTTACATTTACTACTGACCTGCTCTTCCCAAGTTCAAAGCCCAGGAACTCACTGGAGAGAGCTAAAATGGATCGGTCTTCCTCGAAGTGCCTGAAATGAAGCCCAAAGGGAAGAAACTGGATCCTTGGAGCCCGGCCACCGCGTAGAAGGTGAAGTCACAGCCTCCGAGTGCTGGCTTTGGGACCCCCCAAAATCACTTGCCATCGCTGCGATAGCTCGTGATTGCTGGGTCGGGGGAGCTGCAGGGCGCCTGGGACTGCTTTTCGGAGTCCAGCGGCCGATTCCACTTGACTGCTATTGGGTGGGATCTTTAGACTTTAGCCTTTTGGTTGAAATCCAGTTGTGTTTTCCGAACTAAACCCCCAAAAAGTGATTCACTTTTTGCAGGGGGGTCGTTGCAGCAACCAAGAGCTAGGGAATGAGTTGGAATGAACCTGGGGATTGCCTTAAAGGACACCACAAGGGATGGTTCACAATCGTCATTTCCTCATTCAGTGCTAAGCACCAGCAAGTTCAGTTCCAAAGCCAACACATCAAGCAGGTGAGTCAAAGCACACCAAGCAAAGGCCAACCCTCACCCAAGGCTGCCACAAAACTCGCACCGACCCAGCCACACGTCCAACCAATGCCCACATGCGAGCCGGTGCTGAGCGAACGGCAACGAGAAACCACCTTAAGTTCCAAGCACAACCATCGTTGGGCCCCCTTTGTGAGTTCTCTGTTCATTTGAAGTGATGTTTGCGCAAAAAACAAGAAAATAAGTTGCTGCACTTGAATGCCCCGCCCACCCCAGGTGTCCTTTGGAGAAACTCGACACTGCCAAACTGAAACAGGTGCCAGTATTCAACCAAACTGCCTTCAAAGAAGCCTGTGCAAGTAAAAACGTTAAACAAAAATGCAGGGGCACTCGTAGATATAAGTTCCGCTCTAGGCGTTTGCCCTCTCAGAGGCTTGGTCCAAATCTGGGGACGGAAAACACATATATTCGAATGATGTTTCATATTTAGTCTCACCCAAAGAAGACAAGAAGAGAGCATACGTAGACCCTTACCCACCACATAACTGAGGGAGGGCACCTGGAAGACGAATCTCTTAAAGGGGACCCCCGGTCCAGTCAGGTGCCATGGTGTGAGGAGGGTAGTTTGAGGAGCCCGACGGATGCCTTTATGCCAATGTAAGCTTCTACGCCTGTACATGAAGCACTTAGAAAAGTGGTACATAAGCTCCCCACCTCTAAAACGCATTACCTGGAGTCTCCATGACCCCAAAGATGGTTGGTCATCACCCAAAATAATTGGGTCATCGACCCATTTTTAAAGGGTCATATAGGGCCATGGAAACTCCAGGTACCTGGAAGATGCGCCCTTGACGACTGGGGAAAGAGACACCGAACTGCTGGGCAACTGGCCATCTGACGCTGGTGCCGAATAGGACTCCTCCATTTGCCTCAGATGGAACGGTTCTGGCATCCCAAGGGGGTGGTCCCAGGGGTTCCCCAAGGCTCCCCAAGGAACCCGAAAGTCTCAACTACCCAACCTCCTTGCACCCACTTTTTAGGGATTCCAAAATCAATCACTTCTTGGAACCAGAAACCACACACCAACATGGGAAAGGCAAAAGGTGAAACAAAAGGTTGGCGGCTGGCGAACTGAGAATACTTCACATTTGCGACAAACGGGTATGTGGTCTCCTCATAAGTTCGCTGTAAGCCAAACATTTGCGACAAATATCAGTCGGTCCCCGGATGAATCCGAAGCTAATATGAAAAGCGATCCTCTATGCTCCACATGCATGCTCCGAGTTCTTGCTTGACCCCCTTCGATAAAGCTCAGACCCTTGTGGATGCCTAACATTTGGCGACACACACCCCTCCAACATCGCCGAACAACCAAGCTTGTGAATTTCCAGCGCTACTTTGGAAGGATGGTTGACCAAAAAACGTACGAATCATACAAAGGATATGATTTTTACATCCCCGCTACCTTCGGGAGTGGGGGGTCCCCCGATTCCATTTATCCAGTCTTCCCCATGAAAGGGAAAATTGCACAATAAATGGAATTCCAGAGGTCACCCCCCTCCCCCAATTCCATTTTTTAAGGGGCGGGATATTTTCACTTGGGAATGCTGTGGTGGATTCATGACTTCCTTTGAGGCATTCCATTTTACAGCCACGCAAGCTGTGGCCCAACAAAAGGGCAAAGGAAAAACGGGAAAGCTCTTTTCAGCCCCTGTGAACATCCCCACCAAAAACGACTGACCTCCAAACGCCAACCAACCGGACCCTTTCAAAGTGCGCAGAACATCCGCAAGGCTAGGTTTCAGAATATGTTCGGCCGCAAGCTGCCACCGGCAAAGTCCCTGTCCAGCTGTCCAGCAAACTAGGCATCCTGCTGTAGCCATGTCTGCTCATCTGTCCAAACCTGCCAAAAGCTTTTTCATGACTTTCCTTTCCTAATTGACCTGAGTTGACCCCCCAAGTGCCAACCCAGACCAGCCCGTGCCGCCCCAACTGGGCAGAATCAATCAACACCTCCCAAGCGCTTCGACGTCAAATGGTGCCCGAAGCGCTTTGATTGAGAGATTCTGGGACGATAAGCCTTGGAAGGTGCTGATTTTTGTTGCTACCGTCATCCACCAAACATGAGAACCCCAAAAAAACGTCACAAATTAAACATGAGAACCAAAAAAACAACATCATTTTCAACGCACAGGCTTACGTAGCTACTCCGTCCCTGGCATTGTGACAACTTTGGTGAGTGGGAGGCATGTGACAAGCTATCTCATCACCCACGTTTGTCGATTGGGAAAAGCGTGGCCTTGGTTTCCTCCGGCTTGGCATCTATGGTGCCAGCGTCAGAACCTTACAGCCTCTCCACAGCACTGAACATACTGAACCGAGGGTCCTTGAAGATAAGACATCTACTGGTCAGGCCAAGGATCTTAATTCGAGGGCAAAAGTTATGTAGTCTATTTTAAAAAGAGAGGGGGACCCCCTCAGCGTGGGTATTTTCCATGTGAAACGAGTGTTTTTCCGAATTGGGGAGTTGTGTGCAGTTATGTGTGTATATATCCTCTGACCGCGATCTGCGCTGCAACTTTGGCCAGCTAGAAAGCATCTCATCCATCTGCATCCTGCACTGAGTCGTCCCACCCTCCACTCTGGGCTAAGATGGCACTTGCAGCAGAAGACATGACCTACGAGGATCTCAAGGAGATCGTGGATGTAAATCTTCTGGCAAGCTTCGTATGTTAAACGAAACTTTTCATCTGAACTTTGTCCTGTCATCACCTTATTACCTGCAACTTTGAGAGGCCCTGCTCCTACATCTGCCCAACTGACAAGCTGGTAACCTTCTTCAGCTGCCTGAACTTAAGCAGCTTTCAGCTCCTACCTGATCTCAGTCCACCTCTTTCTGTCGTCCCAACTGGCACCTTTGAGCTCATCTGCAGAGAAGACCAACTTCTTGCTTGGATCTTTGGCCCAAAGTGGGACTTGATCACTCGTGCCGATTACCAGTGAGGATCGTTTCTTAACTATCATCTCTGCATCTGCAACCAAATGTGCATCTTCAATCTCAGCAACTGGAGCAAGCACCTAGATGCCAGAGCTTTCTGTCAATATCCTGGAAGGCTGGGCCCGCGCCTGTTCTTCAACTGGTGCCAGGCGAGTAGTCTGATCTTTGCTCAAGTAAGCTGCACCTAGCCATTGGATCAGCTTCTCTACATAAGAAGCTGCATACTTTGAGCTCTGCTGGAGCTTGGTCTTTCTCTGTAGGGCACAGTCAGCTTCTTTCAGCCAAGCTTTCCTTTGCATCTCATTTCTGCAAAGCTCTGCCCTGACCATGCATCTCTCTGCCCTTGCAACCAGAAGGGCAAAGAACTCTTTCAGCAGCTCATTCTTTGACACGTTGTGGCTATAACCCCTTTCTTTCTGCAACCACTTGCCAAGTTGAGAGATCTCTCTGCTAAACTCTCTCTCTTTCTCCCTCCACTAGCTGCTCTGGCAAACCTCTTCTGCAATCTTCCAGCCTCTGTGTGCTCATCTTGAACTTTCTCCTTGCAACTGCCCAAGCTTCTGCTTCTGAGGCTGAGACTCTTCCAGAATCATTTGAATCTCTTCACTAAGCTTCATCTTCTGAAAGGCAAAAAGCTCTTGCTTCCTGGAAGGATCTGTCTCCTTCTTCCTGTTGCTTAACTGCCCACCTGCAGTTCCTCTACGCTCTTCCAGAACTGGAGGCCTGCCACCTTGTCTGCCTGTTACAGCTTCTTCTGGGTCTTCTTTCTCCAGCTCTGCTAGCTTCTGGAGGTAAGCTGACATCACTAGTGCAGCTTCTTTCTGCAGCTTGCTCTGCTGCTGCCTCTGGTATGGAACTACCCTGTTAGATAGCACAGGCTCTATCTCCTTGGCTTGCTGCTCTGGTGTTCCAAAAAACTTCTTTACGCTGAACTGTTTCTTCTCTAAGCTAGCTGGGCTGGGGCTGGGTGCAAGCTGGCTGGAAGCTAAGGACTCTGTCGGGCTTGCTGTCACCTGAAGCTGTGTTGTCGGGCTGGCCACACCTTTGGTTTTCTTGTTGTTTGATATTTGAAAACCTTCTAAGCTCTTTCTTGCAAAGCTGTCCTGTGTTGAAGCTTTTGCTGCAGGCAGCCTTAGAAACATCGAGAAATCAAAAGAAGGTGTCCAAAATCAAAAAAAAAACATTGAGAATTCGAAAGAAACCATCCAACATCAAAACAACATCGAGAAATCGAAAGATTTTGTCCAAAACCGAAAGAAACCTCGAGAAATCGGAAAAAAAAAAAAACAATCTGGCCAACAGAATGTTTACATGATACCAGCACATTGTCCCAGATTTTTTTTTGGTGTTTTTCGATTTCTCGAGTTTTTTTTGGTTTTGGACAAAATCTTTCGATTTCTCGATGTTTTTTTCGGTTTTGGGACAGGAGCCTGACATCTGCAAGGGGGGTAAGGTGGAGAACTGTTTGCATGATACCTTTTGGCCAGAATGCAGCAAAATTAGGTGTGTGCAAAAACCCAACGCTCACAGGGTCCCTTTCTGGTTAAAAAAGGTTAGAAGGGCACTACTGGGGGACCTAGTGGTTCTTTCCTTCGGCTAAAGCTGCGTCCGGACATAAACATCTGAGCCCGAGGGGAACCACAAATCTCGGTGATTGCCTCAGAGACGAACGGATTGCGGCTCGTAAACCGATCATACGAGCTGCGCACAGTGTGCCTCCTGTGAGGGGCATGTGAGAGGCTTGCAAGAAAGACCTGCCTAGGAAGTGCTTCAAACAACGATTAATTGTTGTATGGCATATTATCCATGTTATACCTGGAGTCTCCATGACCCTTAAAAAATGGGGTCATTACGCAAAATACTGGGATCAGTGACCCATTTTTAAAGCGTCGTGGAGACTCCAGGTAGCCCTGTTCGATTTTGTCCAACTGCTCACGTGCGATTGTTGCGTTGGCCAATGCTGGCCACAGGGCAAAGACTGCGGCGCCTCCTTGAACAGAGCGGTGATGATAGCGTTGAAGTCCAAATACGCATTCCTTCCCCGGCTGCGCTGCTCGCATGGCATGATGGGTGAGTTGAGCAGTGATTAGCTAGCCCGGCATGATGCTAGCTGGACATTGGGGCACAAAGACAGGACGCGTACCAAGCATCATGAAGCCACAGACCCCTGTGGCCATGGCCTCCCCCGTGATCCCAACTGCACACAACTCACTACTGGACAACGCTTACAGGTGGGCCGAATTGAAATTGGCTTCACTGGGCCTGAGGAAAGACGCGCGCCGACTAATACTCCTGCGTCCAGGGCAGAAAAAAAGGATTCCTGCTGGGATTAACCCATTTTGAGAGGGCGACCCAACCGACACCTGCGTGCCAACAAGGTTCACGCATAGGGGTGCCTCGGCCGCAACATGTTTGTGCATCTTGTCAAGGGTATGCGGTTGATGCCCTAAATATTGCAAGTAGGGAAGCAGGGATAATCCCCAATCTCTGAAGCAAGGAAACCCGGCTGGCGGATCCTCATGAGCTCCGGCGACACGCGCTGCCAGCGTGTGGCTGAAGATGCGCGCGAGGCAACCGCAAACTCGGCCTGACAGGCCGAACATGTGGACGCCACCTAAACTGGGCTGCCCTCAGATCCCCAGCTAAAAGTTTAACTTTTAGTGGGTTACATGGAAACTTCCACTAAACACTAAAAGGCTGAAAAGTTAAGGAACCGGATGGCTGGGAGCCACCTTAATCAAGAAAAACACATCTCCGGCGAACTGTTGGCACAACTGGTTTGGCACAACTGGTTTCCAGCCCAGTCGCGGGGCGAGCAAGTGAGGTGAACTTTCGAGTCCAAAAAAGGCTTTCCTACGGAGAAACAGGTTTTCCCCTTAACTTGGTTGACGTTGGAAGGGGAGCAAGTAATCAAATGTTAGCATTTAAGTGGTTGGATTTCAACCACTAAACCACAATCAGCAAAAATGGGAAATGCTTCCCAACAACAACAACCATGTTAAAACATCATCCAACAAAGGTCATAGACTTAAGGAGCGAGCCTAGGACTTCAAGAGCTCGGAATCCCAAGCCCCGAACAAAAACAACAACCCAAAAGCCTGAGGCTTGCACCGCGTCCTTCAGCGGATTGCCCAGGGGAAGCCAAAAGGGCCTAGCAAAGCTGCGAAAGCGCTTGCCATCTGCAAATTCACAAAAGCTGCAAGCGCCGTCTGCGAATTCAGTCTCACTTCCGATCGAGTGGACTGGCCAAAAAAAACGTCCAAATCTTGTTGTTTGTCACTAACATGGTCCAAACCGAAAAGTGACTGAAGTTCCACAATTCAACACCAACGCTCTCTGAGTGGATTAGCCTCACGTGTCTTTTTTTTGCACACATAGTCTTCCCAAAAAGTGACCAAACAAAGGCAAGACTCAGGGAGTGAGGACGGTGAGCTTTTTCCTCCCAATGAGCTCATGCCCTGTGAGGACATCCTTGCAAGTCATTGGAGGCTATCCCAAGAATTCTGCCGCATGCTCACCCGAATGCACGGAACGTGTTACAACCCCCAGGTCAACAGCTTTGCCCCCCACCCGAGCTGAAAATACGAGGTTTCTTCAGTACGACGTGTTCATGGTCCAATGTTCAGCTCTCTGATTGGTAGCGCTCATTGGTGGTTTGGAGCTGTTCCGGGGTGGCTTCCCATGTAATCACCCTCTACACCAAAGGCTCAAATCCCACCACCAATCCCTCTTATGGACCTTCACATATGCAAACACAACATATCCCAGTGGTGCCTTGCGGCACGAGAAGGAGTCCTGGAGTCCTGGAATCCTGCCTGCTCCAAACTCCTCCATGGTCATGGGCAAGAGCTTGCCTGGGCGCTAATTCCCAGCTTGATCCGCCCTGGCAAAGAGGATCCCCTTTTGGCCTTGGGAATTCGTGGGAAACCCTTGGCTTGTGAGCCACTGAACTACTCAGTTGCCCCTTAGGGACGTGGGACTAAAAGGTGATCACCTTTTGGGTTGCCATGACTAAATATGGACCAAAGTGGGAAAACCAAAAGGTCAAAAGGTCTGCTTTGAACAACTGAGACTAAGATTTGTAGCCACTGGACAACTTATCGGATTTGCTTTTACTCGGGGTGACTCAGCTCCTCAGATACCCAGTCCAAAGCTTCATACGAGGGTCTCCCTTGCGTCAATGGAAACAAGGGATGTCAGGTTGTCCTTCTGGAATCCCTCAAACCTATAAAGGAAATCCCAGGAGAGTTCTAAAACCCTGATCTCGAGTTCTTGCCAAAAGCCAGGCTCTATGCAAATGCTAAGGCGGGTGGCGGGCTGGCAAGAACTTCCTGAGTGGATGGGCCAACGAAAAGTCTAAACTTTTTGTTTGCCACACTAAAAGGGTCTTCCTGGAGTCTCCATGACCCTCAAAAAATGGGGCCATTACCCCAAATTATAGTGGTTTGAACCCATTTTTCAAGGGTCATGGAGACTCCAGGTTCCCTCAAAGTAAGTCCGAACCGGACCGTGGTAAATCACCCCAAGGAGTCCCCCGAGCGGGCCCTGCCAACTGTGGATGGACGAAATCCATTTCGCACCACTTGGAAACCATGAGAAACCATGAGAAACCATGTTTCATTGGTATTTACCGGGGAATCATCATTCCAGGGTTTCTTAGGTGGTGTAGGATTTCGTCCATCCCCAAAATGGAACCCCGGTAAATGGAAAGACTAGAACCTGCGGTCCCCCTGCTGGTTTAATTTTGATCCATGCCCACATAGGGGCAACTTCCTTTCCGTGAAGGCTGAATGCACAACGCTGCGCATCGCCTGCTGAAAACAAAACATCACTCAAAAGATAGGCTTGAATCCTCACCTGCATGCTAGTTCGAGTGTGAACAAGTTTGCAAGCTGCTGACCGCTCGACAATACGCTAGACCTCCAAAACAAATGCAAGCAAACCAATGCATCCGTAGAGATACTGTGAATGGACCAAATCCTGCACCACCAAAAAAACCACGGGAAATCATTATTCGCTAGTAATTATTTTCAGGAGGAATCGAATCATTCCAGGGGGATTTCGCAACCATCCACAGTATGGCAACATCACCAGGGAAAAAAGAGACTCAGGACCAATTGGGTGACAATCCGCGATAAAATCCTGAAGCCCAAGTACCACATTCGTCAAAGACCTCCGGTTGCATTTCCATGGCAAAGGCGACTACCGCCTTAGGGGCTCTTGATTGGACAGGGAAGCCCCTTCCAAAGAAAAGAAAAGAACGAGGGCACCAAGCAATGGAGGCCAAAAGGTCAAAAGGTTGAGCCGCTCAGTTAGGAAGACATGCCCTTAGCGCCGCGCGTAATCCGAAGTTTCTCAAGGCACAGGGCTGACTGGCCTGCAGGAAGTGGGAATTGTCGCTGTTTTCCATGGGCACGTGCGTACGGACAAACATTGTTCATCTCAATCCGTCCCCCGCGCACGCCAACCGGCGCTATAGATAACAAGGTTGGGAGCCCCTTGTGGGAGGCTTTGAACATGGAGGGCTCCATGATCACAACTCGGAAAGCCTCCGCCCAAATCTGAGGTTGCCCCTCACTTGCGCTTAGAACGGCCCAATTTACTTCCGGTCCCCTGAAAGAACCGCACCCTGCAGTTTGTTGCTAACATCTTTCAACGCGCACTTGGTTCTGCAGCAAGGGCCTGGAAATAAGTGCAATGATTGCAAGGGAGAGGCACTAAAACGCAACACTACTTTTGATGACTACTGTATATATATATATATATATGTATGTTGCAAAGACAAACAGAGGCAGTCAAACGCACCCAGCGACGAAAACAGGCAAGCACACATATTGGATTCCATCTCAAATAATGTGCAGCACTATTAGCAAGCTATCAATCATGTTACAATGATCCCACTCCCTGCGGGGATTGGTCCAAACAGCAACCTGTTTAATTGTCCACTTCTTGGTTGCTGTCTGCAACCCTGCAAAAAGTTTAACTGTTAGTGTTTCGATAGAAAACCCATTCGTTGGCAAAAAGTCAAAGTCCTCTAAGATCCAAGCAAAATGCACCAAAGACTTATAGTTGATCTGTCCTAAAGCAAAAGCAGGAATTCGGGCAGTCAGTGATTCGCTGGTCAGGTAGCCAAGCTAAATTCGTGTTGCACAGCGAGCGATAGATCCGTCCTCAACGCCAGCCAAAACGGCAACCGCGAGTAAGTGAAATCAACCATAGCTGGAGCACCCACGTGAATTGAATCGCAGTGCTCCGCTACAATCGTTGCTTACTCAACCAAAGAACATGGACAACCCCAGGTTTGCCCTGTGAATTGCAACCGAGGTCAAAAGTACTCACCCACAGAGCCAGGAAATCAGAGGTCAACCCAAAATGGGCAACAACAGAAAGCCCAGCCAAGTCGGTCGGCCTCCCGCCCTGCCTGCGCCGGCATCTGGCACCTCCAAATTGTGGGGCAAAATCTGGTCACAAAATCAAGAAGTCGCTATAGAACCTGATAAAGGGCCACCCGAAAGGAGGATGGAATGCCTGTGCTTCAGGTCATACACAGCGACAACGGGCACTGTTGGGGTAAACTCGTTCACACCACCCCATTTGCAGCCACCGTCCACGTGCCAATCTGTTCTGGGCAAGTTAGTACCATTCGCAAGCCAAACTCTACGAACATTGGCCCAAGAGATGACAGCCGTATGTAAGGAGCCTTGATACACCCAGTCAAGAGCCAAGCCTTAGGCACTCAAGACTCAACATGTCAGTTATATCCACATCCCTGTATTTCCGTTTAACCACCCAGCAAACAAAGAAGCTCGCTTCAACCTGCCACCTGCCCCAAGTAATTAATGACTTCAACCACAAGGCTAGGCCACGCCTTCTTCTACCTCAGCTTCTGCGCCCCGACCCCAAATTCAATTTGATCGTGGCCCAAATGGCTATGGGTCAAAACCCCGTACCGCCAGTGAACATCCCAATTCCCACTAAAATACACTAAAATGGGTGGTACACCTACCCCGAAATGGTACCATCGGTGTCGACCCACGGCCATATCTAGCAAACCTTAAAATGCAAAAACGCGTCACAAACCAAAATCAGCCAGTCTGCAAGCCCAACAATACAAACAGTGCCCGCAATGCACCAGGATCCCGCGGCCTCTGCGGCGAAGCCTTGCGATCGAACGACAGGGAACATCTGCCCATGCGGGTTTGTCTCAAATAGGGGACCCCCAACGAAAACAACACGCACAAAATGGTGTGCATCCTTTTAGTCCCCCTTTGAATCAAACCAAAAGAGGGTACCATCAACAATGCCCACACCCGCGTCGCATGTTTGATGGTACCCTTTGGCGAGCATCATTGTAAAACGCGCGCTGCGCTCAGCAACGTAGACATAAAGGGGGGGGATGTCCACCAACCGTGTTGGAGGGTTTTCCAAATTCTATTTCATAGCCACCTGTCACTGTGTCAAAACGCGCTGGATTCCACGCCCTATATTTCGAAAAATGACACGGAGACATGGCTGCAACAAAGGGTCTCAACAGGTTTGCGCCACTGTCCCCACTAAATCCGGTCAGATCTAGCATCTGCGTGACGACCAGAGTATTGCATGCCATATCAGCTGTTTGCCAGCATCCGCAGTTGGCTTTCGACCTGAGGCGCCTGGCATTGTAAGCCGGCCCTTTGCACGTCCTTGAAAACTTGGCCATAATAAGTCTTGCTGTGGAGTTCAGCCAATCACTTCCTGAGTTGATTGGCCCAAAAGTCAAAACTTTTGGTTCACCCCAAAGCGGTCTTCGCAAAAAGTCTATTTATTGTCCAGGAACACAAGAAGTGAGAAGCGAGCCCAAAGAATCTTGCAAACCCTTTGCTCTGTGCTTGAGACTGCTTACAGGATGCCATGTGAATTGTGCAACCCAGGTGTGCCTCCTGTGAACACATGCGTCCATGGCTTTAGCGCATACCAAGCAAAACTCGTTGTCCCCCCAGTTCCTGCAAGCAAATTTCGCGTTTTCACCTTGAATTCCGTTGGGGTGCCCCAGGTCCCCCCAAACGGCGAAACCAAAATTGCCGAGCGGCATGCAGCCAGTGCGGCAAGCACAGACCTGGGAGTTGAGACAAACGTAGGTGGGTAACATACACATCTCTTGACTCACCACTTGGTTGACGTTGGAAGGGGAGCAACAATTTAAGTTGAGCAGTTAAGTGGGTGGATTGCCACCACTACCCAACAACAACCATGCTATGATAAAGGTGTACTAACTTGAGGGGAGTTGGGAAAGCTTTGCTTGGGTACTCCCCTTTTGGGCAAACCGACGTGAGCACCCCCAGTTTTAGAGCCGCCTGTTGCCGAGGGCAAATTCGTCCCAGGGCAAGCCGCAGGTGTTTTCACCCGTCACTGCCCCCAATGGAATCCTTGTGCTGTTACCCCCCCCAGTCAAAGGATTCTCCGAGGCCAGCTGGAAATCCGTTTTGTTTCTGAGTGGAACCATCTGTGCCCCGGCCAAGTGATGTGGAAGCTGACGGGGCTCTGCTGACTTTGTTCTGCTGCCATGCAGAACCCACCCGAGAAGCCCTGGAATGATGGACACCAACCAGCAGTGGTTTCAACCAGGGCTTCAGATTGGTGCGAACGGATTCCGTCCATCCACAGTAGGGCACACGGAAAACCAGCTGCGAGCACCCAGGTGTACCTCATGTCAGTGCCATTCAGTGCCAATGCTGGATGTACCAATTCACCAACCTGAAGCAACAATTGGAGAGAGAGGTCGTAACATCTGGCAGGATGGTGGGTGATGCAGCTATAATTTGCTCGAATCTATCATGACAGGACATGACGGGTATGCAATTCCACCCCGTGCATTTGCAACTCAGGTATACGCGAGTTGTCTTTCACTTCTTGTTTTAGCAGCATGGTTTCCCTCACACACACACACACGCACACCACACACACACACAAGCCTTCATCATGAGCGAGGTCACCCACCAAATGTTCAAAACCAAAAAACCAAGACCAGTTCATAACCCCCTGCATTTTGCACATGGAACCAAAACAACATATTGTACAGGAACCCCTTTTATTGAGTTCGTTTACTTCTTCCCCCCCCCCCCCGCAAATGCACATGGAACCTCAACAAAAAACTTGATGGTACAGGTACTTCTTCTTTTTCGCAGGGGGGTTAATTAATCTTGGCCCGGATGACCTCCGGGCGTCCGCGCCAGAGTTGCGTCAGCAGGGTCTGGGCTCTTTGGCACAGTGCTGAGGGGTGAACCGCCAGCTCCAGCCACATGGCCCGGAAACCTCGGGCGAAGGAAGGGGCCATGGGTGGCTTACTCACTTCCTGAGTGGCTTGGCAAAAAAAAAAAACGATCCAAAAATTGTTGTTTGCCAAAATCCTCACTTCCTAAGTAGGTTGAAACAAAAAACAACGGTCCAAAGTTGCTGTTTGCCAAGTCCAAACCACAAGGGTCCGAAAGTGGTTGTTTGCCAAGACCCATTTTCAGACTAAAGTGGGGGGTGTCAGGAGGTGAGATACTCATAACGCAACCAACTTCGCATCAGCTGGTGTTGATGTCTTGTCTCGGGCTTGCTATCAACGACCTTTCGAATGGCTTCAGCTTCCGTGCTATCTGCAGGTATAGAAGGCTACATGAAGAAGATGAGGCGTGGCCTGCTGAGCAAAGACACCTTTCCATAGAAGCCTGCATACCAGTCGTTTGCCACGCTTCCCTCCAATTGGTGGTTATTAGGTGAACAGGGCTGGCCTTTCCATTTCATCCCTAATAAAGGGGACCCGAAAACCATGCATGTTTATCAGTTAATAGGAGGAAAGAATTACAAGAGCCAAAGAAGTTCAACTCCTATCCAACCCCCAAGGCCAGGGACCGGACCGGCCGGACGCCAGATGCGTGCGACGAGTTTCTGGGCGGAGTTTCGGGGTGCCTGAACGCCCGGTTGCGAGCCCCAAAATCGGCGGCTTTCTCACTTCCGTGGATTCACAAAAAACACATCCGAACTGCTTGCTTACAAGGTCCAAACCCCAAATGGTCCTGTCAAACAACAGTACAGCCAAGCCCAAGCCAGGGACCCCCGTGTCTGAGCCCCCGTCCGGCATCCAGAGGCTCTCCGCCTAAGGGGAAAAGATGCGAGAAATGAAGCATGCTTTTCTCTTGCCCCACTTTGACAGTTTTTCCTATGCTTCCCATTTTGCACCTTTTTTCCGTGTTTCCTTGCGTGTCACTCCTCTCATCCTCACTCCAAGGGAACCAATAGGGGCATATCTGCACATTTAACAGGGCCATTCATCTTCGTCTCAAAGGACACCCCCGAAAAATGTCAGTCATGAGCAACACAGTCAATAGCTTCGTGAATCAAAACTGGCACCAAACAAATCAAAACCTGAAGAAAGTAACGGAGTCCCAGAGCACCTAGGGCTATTCTGCCGGGTTCCGCGAAAAGCGGAAACGCGTCCATCCGGCGGCTTCCAGGTGTTGAACGCTTCGGGAGAGCCCAACGTTCAAACTTGAGAAAACTCTAGGGGTACCTCCCCCGTTCCTTCCGGGGATGCTTCTTTTCATAAAACCTCCAGAAACCCAGGGAAAACGGCTGGTTTTCGAATGTTTTCGAAAAGTGATGGTTGAACAGAATGGGGAAACAACCCCTATAATATTGCCAATCGGAAGCCATGGCCAGAGATGCGTTTTGGTGGTCTCAACCTGAGATGAGCCACAAAACCCAGGTATAATCAAAGGGTAGGGACAGTTCTTGGATCAAGTCGTTTGTCCCGAGAACTGGAAGTGACTTGGGTCACCAGTTGTGTTTCATTTGTGTTTATGGTTTTGAGTTGGTTCTGTTCATTTTTAGGCTCGGGGGCTGCAAGAAACCGTCAGTTTGCTTTCAAGCCCATGCCAAAGGTTGCGAAGGCTATGTCACACTCCAGCTGAGTTGAGCCAAAGCCAACGGAATTGGGGGTAAGGGACAGTCCCAGGGTCCCAGCCAGAAACGGGTGCTTTGATTATCAGTTCAGTATCCGGACATCTGTGTTTTTTACCCTTTGGGGGCTCTCTCTCTCTCGCGCCAAAGGGTTGGACACGTTTAAAAGGTTAACCTTTTGGCCTTTTGGGACCCCTACTAAAAATAGACCAAACAGGGAAAACCAAAAGGTCAAAAGGTCGGCTTTGAACAACTGAGTTAATATAGCCAAACATCACCAACATTTGGCTTTTCTGTTGTTTTGGGCCCCTCCACGGAGGTGAATTTTGTTGCCCGTGGTGCGGCGCAACTTTTGAAAGCAAGTAAAGGCAGAAACCAAAGGGGAGCTAACTGATCAGGCTGCAAGGGAATGAAACTTGCTGGGGGATTGAAAGTCCAGGGTTTGCAACTTTCCGTGATACCAAGGCCTTTATACGGGAATTCCATTGGAGCTGCCAATGTTTTCGCAGAAAAGTGCTCTCGGCGTGAACGGTTGTTGCCCCACGAGCCCTGAACACGCTGCCAGAGATGTGTGCGTTGCATGCTCTTCACAGGCCAACGAACGGTTACTCCCCTACAGGTAAACAAGGAACCCCAAAAACCACTTTGTGCAGAGGAAACTTCTTCCGGGGAGACTTTCTGGGTTCCATGTTAGTTTCCAGGCGGGTATTTAAACAACATGGGCCAATGGGGTTTGACCAAGTTTCAAGGGATCCAATTCAACCCTGGATTGGATGATGTCCTACCAGGATTCAGACAATGATCTCAGACACGCGAGTTGGGTGCCGCCCTTACAGCTTCATGCCTGCCCCGTGTTTTCGGTGCTTTCTGTGTGCAATTGGGGCAACTCACCGATGCAACTTGGTGTGAGATTCAGACGTGCGGGTGCGGGGGGTGGGGGGGGGGGGGCGGTTTCAGGCGATCCTTGCCCTTAGTGCGTGAGCCCTTCTCGATGTGGGTCAAAACCCTGTACCTCTGGTGAACATCACAATAGGGCGGCAAATGTGTGAACACCAAAATAGGCGGTGTGCAAAAAAAAACCATCCGCCCAAAAAAAACATCCTCCACCCAAAAATAATAATAAAAAACAAAAAACATCCACCAACAAAAAATGAATAATAAAAAAACCTCCGCCCAAAATGGGATCGCCATAGGTTCAAAAAAAAGGATCCCGAGCTCCCCAGCCTTCCAGAAAGGCAGCGGCCTGATCCATCCACGCGCCCAAGGTGGGCGTGAGTGTGCGGGAGTGGTACCTGGCACTAAAAATGGGAGCCGGGGGAGCTGAAAGGGCATTACGTCCAAAAACAAACAAACACCCAAATGGGGCCCCAATATAATGTTAACCCCGGATTCATAAACCCCTGGTTGATTTTGATCGGGGGGTGTCCCCTTTTAGTGGGGATTCAGACCACTTTTGGAAACACCCCCCTAATAGTGGGACGGGTTCTACTTAGATCCTGGGTCAACATTATGGAAGTGATGTTGTCTCCCCTCCCTCCAGCCACAAGAATCAGGGGGAGTTTGAACGAAACCCAAGTCTCGGAGGAGTGCGCGGCTCCAAGTTGAGCTAACTGGGAAGAAGGGGTCCGTCACCCCCACCACAAGCCACTGCCAAGGAGCAGGCTGAGTGGGCTAGAAAATGCCAAACTGCGTACACTCGCTTGCCTGCGGCCTGGGAATACCACTGTTTGCTCTCTTTTTTTTTTTCTGGGGGGGAGGACCATGCCCAAGCACAAACCACTAGAGGTCCGAAGTCCGATCCGACCTGAGGGAAACGTGAGTCATGGCCGCTTATGGCCTCTCAAAGTAGACGGCATACGGCCATGTCGGTCAGCCCAATGCTCGTTTCTCAAGCTTGGGCTGCGCGATGGATTTCTGGAACCAGTCTTCATGCTAGAGATTGGATGGGGTATGTGGGTTTGGGAATGGGTGGGCAGCCAGTTTGTCCAGTTTGTCCTTTTGGCCTCTGCGCGATCCAGAAAGCCTTGCCAGTGTCTTCCCCCAGGCAAAGGACGCTGCACTCCGTTTGTGTAAGCCTGCTGGGAAAGGTAACTACCTGGAGTCTGCATGACCCTTAAAAAAATGGGTCATTACCAAAAAAAAAAGGGTCATTGACCCATTTTTTAAGGGTCAGGGAGACTCCAGGTGTATGTCCAGTAGCGATGCAACCTATTCGTTTCAGCAAATTGAAGTTGCTGGTTTTCAGGGGAAGCAGCCGAACTCAATCACTTGAAAGCAGATCCTTTTTATCCCGTCTTGAATCCAGGTCCCCTCACAGGCAGAGGCGTTAGTCAACAGGTGAAGTTGTGCCAGGAGGAAGCGTAGCTGCCAAATGTTCAAGGACTCAAGCGCCGGGTCCATGATTGTCAGCTGCTTTCTACCAGGAGCAGGCTCATTGCTTCTGAGTAAATATCAGGGGAAGCGGGAATTGAATTCTGACCATAGGCTGGGTAGTTATGCCAAAGTTCTCAATCAGGCCGGGTCTGCTCGAGACCAGCCGAGCCATCCTCGAGAGGGCGTAGCACTTGCCACACAACCTGCATGCCGGAAACTGACTTATGGCGCTTGGGAGAACTCCATGTCCCAAGGGTATTTACTTGGTTGCTGTTGACCCCCTTGCAAAAAGTTGAAAACTTTTTGGGGGTTTAGTGGAAAACCCCTTGATTTCAACCAAAAAGTTAAAGTCTAAAGATCCGTTGCCCAATAGCAGTCAAGTTTAATTGCAAGCAACTGTGCCCATGTGTTCTAGCCGGGGACTTCATCCTCTGGCTGGTTTTCCGTTCAAAGAGTGCCAAAAGGTCCGCAAACGTCTGTCGCAAGCCCTACATCTCCCCCCAAACATCTTGCCAAAAGGAAACTCACTCTGAGCTTTCCCAAAGGTGATGAACTTGCTGGTGCGAGAGGCAGGGAATGAGAATTGGAATCACCCCAGAAGACCATCCAACTGCTGGTTTCCTTTATTCGGGGACCAAAGCCTGAGTTCATTCCAACTCATTCCCTACCTACTGTGGATGGAGGAAATCCTGCACCACCTAAGAAACCCTGGAATGATGAGTCCCCTGTAAATGCCAACCAGCAATGGTTTCCCATGGTTTCAAAGTGGTGCATAATTTCGTCTATCCACAGTATCGCACCAGCAAGTAAAACCACAAAAAAGCATCAGGGATCCTTACATTGTACACCGATCGAACATTGCAACTTGTAAATGGTGGTGTCCATTTCTTTATTCTGGTGTTGAAAAAGCCAGCCATGTTTCAAATGGGCAAGCAAAAAATGAGAATTTCCTTTAAGGAGCCCTGTGTATATTAGATGTCTTGTGGGACATCGAGGAACATGAATGGGTAGTTCCTAAACTTGGGAGCCCCTTGGTTTTGAAAACCATGGCCACCCCAGAAGTGTTTTCCTAGAAGACCTGAACAAGCACGGTTGGAACCCACAGAGCTCAGCATCGCCTGAAGCTCGACCTTTTCAAGCAATTTTGCACGCCTTGGGCTGCTGATAGCTTGATCCAAGACGAACCTCTCTCCAAATCAATTTAACAAAAATGGCAAAGAAATGCACAAGTCGTCTTTCCGTGGTTCAATCAAGCAAGACTTTCAGACTTTGGATTTGGAGAGCCAGGTGTTGCTTTCGCAGCTGCGGCGGGGGCAAAACCTCGCCGCGTTTTGAAGCGATTGGAGCATGGCTCTGCGACTCTGCCCGAGGCCTTTACACGTTTGCTGGAATTAGTTCATGTGGCTTCCATTTGCTTAAGACCCCGGGAAAAAAAATCCAGTAGTCATAGACTCTCTTTAAAACCAAGGGAAAAATAACATATTCTTAAGCAAATGGAAGCTGGGCAAACTACAAAATCGATTTGGGAATTTGCCAGCTCGAGACTGAGTTGCACTCCAATCAAAACTAACAAGCTCTAATCTGGAGAATGCTTCTCACTAAAACAGGTGGGACCTTCGCCAGTACTCATTTCAACAGGTGAGCTCTGGTCAGCCGAGCAATCACCATCACTATATCCCAAAAACCCGACCTTGGCTTCGCCATTATCATCCTACCCAGTACCCTCGCAAACAAAGACTGAACAAATCTGCAAATTTCACAATAATTCCAAAACCTGAAATAAGAATCGGATCGCTAGGTAAAGGGTCTTTACCATGCCTTCGCACGTTTTCCCGCCGAATCCGTGAGCTCGCCACACATCATGCGGAAACCAACAAAACGCTTTTTTTTCTGGGACAGGGAACCCACTTTCGGATTCCATATTTTTCTGGGCGTGTTCAGAAGTTGAAGTGAGGAGCCCGGTCGGACATGGTTTCAAGTAAATGGAAGTGTCGGCGTGGCTCAGGCAAGCTGTAACCAGATGCCGTGCTCTCTGATTTCCTGAAAAGACTGCTTCAGACTCCATTCAGGTTTCTTGCGCGCTCAAGAATGGAACTGAACATTCGCGCCTGGCGCTTCATTAAAAAAAAGAGGGAACCCCCTGTTGGTGGCTGTTTTCTCAAGGAAGCCTGCAGGCGACCAACACCTTGGCGTTTTTTTTTTTTTTGGCTTTGCAGGGGGGTCCCCTATTTTGGGACGAGGGAACGGTGGAACCTCACTTCCTGTGAACCTTCACTTGGCAGCCTCCCTTGTAGTACTTGGCCGTTGGGTTCGAGGTCTTCACAACCTCGGCTTTTGTCTTCAGCCTGAAGCCATAGGGCTCCCGGCCTGCGGAAACCCATGGAAAAGAAGTACCTGGAGCCTCCTTCTGACCCTTAAAGCAACTGGTCACCCCAAATCATGGTCATTGACCCATCTTTTAAGGGGTCAGACGGAGACTCCAGGTACCCCTTCCCATTCACAAACATGGAACCCATCACTCCGGGGGTTCTGGTTCGGGCCTGTGGCTTGTGAATGGGAAGGGGTACCTGGAGTCTCCGTCTGACCCCTTTAAAGATGGGTCAATGACCAACCATGATTTTGGGTAGTGACCAACAAGTGTTTTAAGGGTCAGAAGGAGGCTCCAGGTACTTGCATGCGGCAACCAAAAAACCGGAACTTTCCAAAATGGGTTGCCCGATCGGTAAGTGGAAAGACATGGGTACCAAAACCTGCGCTTTGCCCTCCGATCGTTTAATTTTGAGCCACAGATCCCTTGCTTGGCCCCTTTTGAGAACTACCAGTCAATGGGGTCTCCAAAATGCTTGGTGTCCCTTCAGGTTCCCAGTTCCCTTTAAGAACAACGCGGCTGGGCAACAAAACAGACACCCAAGAGTATCCTACCAAAGCTTACCAAGCAGAGTACCACCCGAGCTTGAAACTTGGCAAGGCAAAAAAACCCTCACCTATTTTCCTTACTTCCTGGGTGGCTGGGCCGCTAAAAGCCAAAACTTGTTTGTTTGCCACTACCTGGAGTCTCTTTCTGACCCTTTAAAACTGGGTCAATGACCCATTTTTTCGGTAATGACCTACCATTTTTAAGGGTCAGAAGGAGATGCCAGGTAGAAAGAAGGGTTCTAGGGGGGTTCGTATTGATGGCATCTGAGTTTCATGTGCCATCTTTGCGCTAGCAAAAAAGTTCAATCGGGAAACTTTTGGGATGGCATAATTGGGTCAGTTCAAAGATGCCATCAATATGAATCCCCCCTATAATCCAAGCCCCCCCCCCCAACAAAAAAACAATCCAACACATCAGGCAAAGAAAGACTGCGAAAATCAGATTCCGTTTCGCCCTATGGGCCTTGTGGCTCCAGAAACCCCAAGTAGAACAAAGGCGCCCTTGTTGGGTTACCCATTTCAAGTGGGTCCCCAACCACACCAACAATAAAGGGAAAAAAAGCTGCCACTGAACAACTGGGCGGGGCTTGACATGTCTCAAAATGACCTAAATTCTGTTTCGTAGGGGAACCAACTAAGTTTGAGAGCCCCTCAACATGCTCACTTTAAGGAACTCAAATCTAAATGGATGGATGCTTGAGTCATTGACCCATGAGGTATTCCGACCTTTTGCGCCAAAGCAGCCTCAGTCGTGTCAAGCACCTCGAACTCATACTCCTGCCACACCGGGTCTCGTCGCGACTTTTGGGCGCTCCTTTGTTTGCGTACGTTCTCGTTTCGGTTGTGCTGCTATCTATCCAAAAGGCCGCTTCAAACTCGCGGTCCCCGTCAAGAAGGCCCCTCCAATGGTACGTCACGGCAGTGTGAAACCGGTGAAAACCGGCACATCTCCCTTGGCAGCATAGTCTCCTCAAGTAAAAGACCAGTCCCAGGCGCATCCAGCCACACTGCTGGGACGCTAAAACAGGAACCGAGAAACCGTCCCAACAAAAACATGGACCACCCCCTGGCCAAAACCTGAGAAAGTAATGGCTAACAAAGCCAAAGCCTGAAATTTATGAATCATGTTGGGAATGGAGACCCGGAAAGTAGTCAACCCCCCTATTTGGGTTCTGAAGTGGAACCAACCCCCGGAAATGAAGGCTACATGGCCGGACAGATCCTGATTGAAATGTGGGTTGTGCATTTACAAGGTATTTGGAGCTGCCTTGGAGTCAGCCCCTCCTCTGCAAGTTTACCTTTTTGGTATTGAATGAAACTCAACTGTTTCCCCAAAAAGGTCCAAAACCCAATGGGTCCAATGGAAAGTTGAAGATAAAAGTCAGTACGCCGTGCTTTTGAGGTTTTAGATTTACACGGCACTCGGGGGCCGCCTGTTTTAAGTCAAACCCCAAGCTTCTTCTCTTGCTGGTGCTCGGGAATGACCTGCTTCTTAGCCTGGCAATGAACCCAAAAAATCCCAAATCGGGAAACCCAATTCCTCTTAGTCTGGAATGAACCCAGGGACTCCCTTAAGAACCAAATCAGGGAAGTGTTTCTCGCGGTCAGTACTCCCTTTTGCTCCACACCAATCGCAAGTGGCCATGGGTCAAAACCCAAATCGTACCCCCAGTGAACATCCCAATCCCCACTAAAATACAGGTTCTAAAATGGGTGGTGCACCTATCCCAAAATGGGATCCCATTAGTTTTGACCCACAGCCAATTCGATCTATCCCAGAGCCTGGGTAGATATGCGCGACAGTGCCAGCCATGCCGAAGTCTTGAATTGCATTTAGCCCCCTTCAATACCAGGCTTTCATGTGTCAAGAACTCCCCCTAATGACGCCCCCAGAACCCGCAATGGCCATTGTTTTTGGTCCCCTAGTTTCATTTTGACTTCATTTTGGGGCGGATGAACACCCATCTAGACCCATGTGCCACCGGTTTTGATGTTCGCCGGGGGTTTCCTGGGTTTTGAACCACAGCCAAGAATCCGGCGAGTGGAAACGGAAAAGGGTGCTGAGCAACTTGGAGGATGTATGTATATTAGATGTCTTGTGGGGGGACATCGAGGAACATGATTTCCTAGGGGACTTTTTTCCGCAACCTAAGCACGTGCTGCTCTAATCGATCAGAGGGAATGAACCTGGGGATTCCCCAAGTGGCGAGCCTTGCAAAGGATCTTCGCAAAAAGTTGCAGCTCCATGAGCGCCAAGTACTTGCCGATGCACTCGTGGGGCTGGGGG